GTGATCTGATACTTTAAGTGTCCAGTGACCTGGTCATTATGTTCACCGAGAAATACAAAAGGTGCTATAGGAGACAGGTATTGTAAGTGTGTCACCCCAGTACACTCTCTGATGACAATTACTGATAAACTGAGGAAGAATGTGCTGTTGAAGGATTTTAGTGATATATAACACAATACACCATATAAATAGTCTTTCTTGTCGTAAGTCTGAACGGTTCAATAAACCCACAGATTATTGAAAACACTTTTTATTTAATTGGAAAATAAAACACTTTCTTTATTCAGTATTAGCTATTGTAAAAGAAATCTGATTATAGATTGAGAGAGTTGAAAGTTTTATGTTATATACAGAGTGAAAACTCTGGTACATCTGAAGTTGTCTGACTCAGCTCTATCATTTATGATACATAATGGCTAGAGGTGCATGTAACTTTATAAATTATAATAGAAAGGAAGTTTATCTTAAGAACTTGTCTTAGGAGGTTTAGGTTTTTTGTTTGTAAGGGGCTGCCATCCTCACTGGCAAATTGCTTGCTTGTTATGTGAGTACATCTGGTAAAGTGAGTGTTTCACTTCCCTCCAAAGCTGACAGAAGTAGATTCCAACAGATATCATCCAGAACTCTTAAATAACTTCTCAGAAATCTCAAAACACATGTGATTAAAAAGATGAATATATGTCTTTTCTGAGAAAAAAGGACTTTCAAGGTATTCAGCAAAATTACTTTTATTTGCTCACCAGGCCCAGAGCACCAAATAAGGTTATGCTGTGTTGCAGCTTCCATCATCCATCGTCAGATGTCCAGCATCAACTTTTTCATTTAAACAACTTCTCCTCAATAATCAATGGACCAAATGTTTTGTTATTTTGCTCGTATGTTCCTAATATGAAGCCTGACAAAGTTTGCAAAAAGGAATGACCTTGAAATATATTAAAAGGTCACTGGGATCAGATTTGTTAAAACCTTAAAACGACTTCTTCCCATGAACAAAAGGCCTAGAGGCATGATATTTTGCTAGTATGGTCCCAGGATGAAGCCCGACGAAGTTTGCAAAAAGAAATGACATTGATTTCTATTCAAGGTCACATGTGCCAAATTTGTTAAAATCTTTAAACAACTTCTTCTCATGAACTCATAGACCTAGAGGCATGAGAAGAAGTTGTTTAAATGATTTAGCTTGACAAAATTTGCAAAAATAAATGATCTTGACTTATGTTCAAGGTCACAGGGTTAGATTTGTTGAAACCATGCAATAGCCTCTTTTCATGAACTAAAACACCTAGTCGAATGATAATTGGCTGGTATGTTCCCAGGACGAAGCCAGACAAAGTTTGCCAAAAGAAATTTCTTAAACCCTACAAACATAACTTCTCATGAAATCATAGGCCTAGAGGCATGATATTTGGCTGATATACCAAGTGAGCGTTGTAGGCCCTTTGGGCCTTTTGCTTTATGAATATTACCAAGAAATTGAAATGAGAAAGAGATATACAGGTTATAAGTTATAGAGGCTTTTCAACCAGAACTACAATTTCAAATGAAACTTTGTATATGTTCATGGATGTAAATGGTAGAAAAATACACAAAACGGGATTAAAACTATCAAAAAGAATTTGCTCTTGTTTTGACAGATTATAGTACAAACTCTCAGAAGAGTCTGACATTTAAATACCTGTTGATTTGGTTTTTATGACCATTCATTCTACTGTGGCGTCATTTAGATTCATGTAGACAGGTGATGAATGTGACCTTTGTGTTTACTGCACAACCCAACAAAAATCAACAGTAGCACTAAATGGCATTTATAAATAGATTACACATTCTATGATACCATGGTCGTATGATATAACTTTTCTGAAGTCATCAATTTTTATGTTTTAGCTTTCAATATAGAGATTTACCATTTTATGCAGGTAAAAATATTTATATTATAAAGTGAGCCTTACTCCGTTTTCTAGACAAAATGACAAACTACAGTATTTGAAAAATACTGAAATTTAACTCTCGTATAATACAAGAAATACAGAGCAGATGTACATGCATATGAAATATGATTTAACGCAATGTATTGCCGACTGTTGCTGTCTATAGCCTGTACATATGGTTAAACTAGATTACCCACACACCATGTTAAAATAGGTCTGCATTGCAAATACATTAAAGTGAGAATGTGTGAGGCTAAATAATTCTCAACTTGTACAGCTGAAATGTCAGTTTTACACAAATGTATACACCTATGCTTTAACAAGCATCTGGATACAAAACATGTCAAATGTCCTTAAAATTACACCAAAATATGCAAATATTTTTAATATAATGTTTGATAAATTGTGAGGCATTTATATATAGTGTGTTATGACAGCCTTGCAGTAAATATTTGTTTGTCACACGGCAAGATATTTGATGCAGTGAAAATTTAATTGTACAAAAAGAATTCCCAATTTGACAATATATTGTAAAATGTTTAAATTAATATCTACTGCTTTCATAAGAGGTACATTCGTCAAGAAATATTTTATGAGATGTCTAAACACAATAAAATATTACATATAACTTTTTTTTATTCTTATCAAAGGATAGTTCGGAATGATGGTCCTCTCATCATAGCAGTACATCTCAGCCTTTTATGTATGTTACTCATGTTAAGATTAGTGTCAAACATATATCAGCCTTTTATGTATGTTACTCATGTTAAGGTTAGTGTCAAGCATATATCAGCCTTTTTATGTATGTTACTCATGTTAAGGATATTGTCAAACATATCTCAGTCGTTTATGTATGTTACTCATGTTAAGGTTAGTGTCAAACATATATCAGCCTTTTATGTATGTTACTCATGTTAAGGTTAGTGTCAAACATATCTCAGTCGTTTATGTATGTTACTCATGTTAAGGTTAGTTTCAAGCATATATCAGCCTTTTATGTATGTTACTCATGTTAAGGTTAGTGTCAAGCATATCTCAGCCTTTTATGTATGTTACTCATGTTAAGGTTAGTGTCAAACATATCTCAGCCTTTTATGTATGTTACTCATGTTAAGGTTAGTGTCAAACATGTATCAGCCTTTTATGTATGTTACTCATGTTAAGGTTAGTGTCAAACATATATCAGCCTTTTATGTATGTTACTCATGTTAAGGATATTGTCAAACATATCTCAGTCGTTTATGTATGTTACTCATGTTAAGGTTAGTGTCAAACATATCTCAGTCGTTTATGTATGTTACTCATGTTAAGGTTTTATGTGTTACATGTTAAGGTTAGTGTCAAGCATATCTCAGCCTTTTATGTATGTTACTCATGTTAAGGATATTGTCAAACATATCTCAGCATTTTATGTATGTTATTCATGTTAAGGATATTGTCAAGCATATCTCAGTCGTTTATGTATGTTACGTATGTTAAGATTAGTGTCAAACATATCTCAGTCGTTTATGTATGTTACGTATGTTAAGATTAGTGTCAAACATATCTCAGTCGTTTATGTATGTTACTCATGTTAAGGTTAGTGTCAAACATGCATGTTTTTTAAAATTAAACAAAATTTACAAAATTAATAAACGACTAGATGGACATCCTTTTACTGCATTTATCCTCCACAAAGACCATGGTTAATTAGTTGCCATCACTTTACTTCTGATTTGTTGGTTGGTTGTTCAGTTGGTGAAAGATTTCAATCTCTGAGCCTACTAGGCAGTGTCTCTCTTGGAACGTCGGTGATCTGTCGATGAAAAACTGCAAACAAAGTCAGAATTTTCTCTACTCTCTTAAACCTGCTTTATGACTTGTTTAATTGACAATGGACCTTAAAATTGATAAGTTTTACTGTTATATCATGTATAAGTTAGGTTCCTTAGTTGTACATTGATAATATTTGAGGTTCCGAGGGACAACCTTGAAAATATAGGTTACATTGTTTATCTTATACCAGAGACATAGCCTTATTGTCAGATAAATTCTGTATCATGTTATTCATCAAAGATAAAGGAACCTGACACTTGAGATAAATTACTTCGTTTTATTGCCTTCAATCATCTTCATTAGCTGGATATTTTGTAACATGCTAGATTTATAAACATGTCATACTTTTTCATAATTATATAAATTTCGTTGATCACAACCATGCATGCCATCATGAATTAGTTCTGCTTCTGTTGGCGCCGGGATCATATGTTGCTGATATAGAGAATTCAGATCAAGCTTGCTGTAATAATAGAGACTGTCTGTTGTAGAGATGTCAAAGGTCAGTAATACCACAGCTACATGTACAGGGTATTCCTACTACTGTGTAGTACATATTACATGGAGGTTGTCTCCCTTTGATCTTGTCACCTCACTTCACCTGTCTTATTGTCTTACATCATGTACCATATGGTACATACTTAATTGATTAATAGATGCCATGACTTATAGGTCAAACAGCAAAACAAGAGAGGATAGATTTCCAGCCTCTTTGATTGTATATGTTTTCTTTGTATATCAACATTGTAGTTAAGAGCTTAAACACCAGACTGTGTTTTTTAACCTCCCCCACCCCACCATTAAATGGAAGGGGGCATTTTGCATCTTGTTCCCATTGATGCGAGCACCCAGACAGATTTTAGATTGTAACTTTATAAAGGTCAATCATGAGCATGCCTTGGACATGTTGTGTTTCAGGGGCACAATGTGAAGGCCAAGGTCATCCTTGTTATGTATAGAAAACCATCAATTGCTTCAAATTTAAAACATGCATTTTTTCATAGAAGTCCCCCCTTCCCCCTCCCCCTCCCCCTCCCAATAACCAAATAAACAAATTCAAATTGATGGCAGCGACATTTATGTTTTACGGACATTTTCTAGTTATATTTGAAAATAAAAGACATATACAGAACAAAAACCTCACTTGATTTTTCTAACGTTAGTTGAGATATTAATTAGAGGTTGCTGATGAGTGCTGTTTGTTGATACTGTTACAATTGTACAATTGTTATCACTCAGAATTTTTTTATATTTCAGGTAATTTTCCGAGTGTTGCCTCCATTTATCCCAGTACGTGATCCTTACAGTGTAAATGTACAAAATCTGCTCAAGCTGACAAACCTCCGAGTTAACTTTACCGAACTTCACACACTTGGTAAGCAAAAAAGCATTTTATGTGGCGTTTGACACAGTGACCCATGTATGCTTAGTAAGGAAAACACAGAATCCTTTACAGAGTCCGTAAGGGGATAGAACCCTTACAAACGTTTGATGCTAAACTTTGAATAAACTCAATATAGTATTCAAATTTCCTCCAGGTTTACAGGATATAAATAAATAAAGATAAATGTTATATCTAGTAATTATTAAATTAATCAGAATATGACATTATAGTAACTTTTAGCACAACAAATTTTGTTTTCCATATTTTGACATTTTGACATCTGCTAGAGACCTTGCAAATGTTGTCTGCTCAACATTTTTTAACCTACCTCTGTTTGAAAATGAAAATTCCCAGCAGGACTTAAGAGTGCCAACTGAACAATGTTTGATACAGAACTGCTCCTTGACAAGCTTGTAATGCCATGGATACATAGGTTACGGAGAAAGGCCACAAAATACACGTCGTAAAAATGGCTGCAGCAAAATCAATTTTTACAATTTTTTTACCTTGTTTGTATTTCTTTTTTAATTCAATGTGTCACGTAATTGTATTTTGCCTGAGTAATACAATTTGATCATTTTCTTATTTAGAATAATTTTTATCTATATTCATTATACTTGCACAAGTTCTAGGCTTGCACAAGTTCTAGTAACTGCAGACATGGATTTGTTCAAAGTATTGAAAACAAACCATCTGAACTGAACTATAATCATTAAATCTTACTTTTGTCAATTTCATGGCGTGATGAATTAAGTTGCTCTTGAGACAATTTCATCATGAACTGTTTGCAGTTTATTAAATTTGTGTGAAGAGCAACTCAGTTCATCACCCTAAGAGATGGACAAAAGCAAGATTCAGTGCTTAAAAAGATTGTCTTTTGATATATGATTTCATTTTAATAATAGTTACCAGCCATTTATAATGCTGTGTTCCTAGAATATGTAAATAATATAATACACATACTATAACTGTAACTCATTTGTGACCTCATAAATCCACAGTGTCATGTCAGCTAGTGAAAAAATGTACACTTTATCTCTGTAATTGGTCACCACAAACAGTTTGTGTATGTTACATGAAACTAGACGAAACTATTCATTTTTGTGTTATCCTTTTTCTCCAGTTATAAAAAGGAATTTTAACATTAAATGTCAATGTGAGGCTGAATTTTTCTCCCAAATTTTTGTTTCTTGTGAAATTAACAACCTGTGAACTAAATCAATAGATTTACATTATTAAGTGTTTTTATCCTTATAAGGATAATGATTTTAACATGAAATGCTATCAACATTTTTCAGGTGACACTCTTTTAGACAGCCGACATGAAATCAAGGAGAAATACTACTATGCCATTTATGACATGACTGTGAGAGGAAGTTGCAGTTGTTATGGTCATGCTTCCAACTGTGTGCCAGTACCTGGGTACAACAACCACTCAGGAATGGTGAGCACGATCATCCCACACAACAGTATTTCTCTTACTTAATGATACATCCGTGTTTATAAAAGCTTCATGTTACCATTTCAAGAGGACGATTATCCCACAAAACACAACAATATTTCTCTAACTTAATGATACATCCGTGTTTATAAAAGCTTCATGTTACCATTTCATTTCCCACAAAACACAACAATATTTCTCTTACTTAATGATATGTCCGTGTTTATAAAAGCTTCATGTTACCATTTCAAGAGGACGATTATCCCACAAAACACAACAATATTTCTCTTACTTAATGATACGTCCGTGTTTATAAAAGCTTCATGTTATCATTTCAAGAGGACGATTATCCCACAAAACACAACAATATGTCTCTAACTTAATGATACGTCCGTGTTTATAAAAGCTTCATGTTATCATTTCAAGAGGACGATTATCCCACAAAACACAACAATATGTCTCTAACTTAATGATACGTCCGTGTTTATAAAAGCTTCATCTTATCATTTCAAGAGGACGATTATCCCACAAAACACAACAATATGTCTCTAACTTAATGATACGTCCGTGTTTATAAAAGCTTCATGTTATCATTTCAAGAGGACGATTATCCCACAAAACACAACAATATTTCTCTAACTTAATGATACATCCGTGTTTATAAAAGCTTCATGTTACCATTTCAAGAGGACGATTATCCCACAAAACACAACAATATTTCTCTAACTTAATGATACATCCGTGTTTATAAAAGCGTCATGTTACCATTTCAAGAGGACGATTATCCCACAAAACACAACAATATTTCTCTTACTTAATGATACGTCCGTGTTTATAAAAGCTTCATGTTACCATTTCAAGAGGACGATTATCCCACAAAACACAACAATATTTCTCTTACTTAATGATACGTCCGTGTTTATAAAAGCTTCATGTTACCATTTCAAGAGGACGATTATCCCACAAAACACAACAATATTTCTCTTACTTAATGATACGTCCGTGTTTATAAAAGCTTCATCTTATCATTTCAAGAGCTTCAGATTGAAACAAATCTGTAATGATTCAACTTTTTTACATATACTGTTTGGGATCAGCGTTTTCTTTTTGTCTTCATCTTTATCAAAAACATGTGTTAAGTTTTCTTAATTGAATACATGTGTGAATTGTTTGTCAGTTTATTAAAAGATTTTATCTGAAATCATGTGCCACAGTAATAACACTGTAAAGTTGATTATTTGTATTTTGGTATATCATCTCCAATAAAACAGCAAAAAATCAGGGACCTAATAAAATCTAAGATTTAACAAAATCAATTATAAAGCAAGTTAAACATTTATATGTATCCTTTGGTATTTGTTCTTAATGATTCAAGCCAACATTGTTTAACTACGCTTAAGATGATCCTTAAATTGTTAATATGATATTATATCAATTTCATATCGAATTCTAACCCAGAGAAATAAACAAAATTAGTGATTGTTGTAAATGTGTATTTAATAATTCAAGCCAATATTGTTTAAGTACATTGATCCTAAATTGTTGATAAGTTATATCAATTTCACATCAAATTCAAACCCAGAGAAATAAAGAAAATTAATGTAAATGTGTATTATACAGGTACATGGCCAGTGTGAATGTACACACAACACGATGGGAAGGAACTGTGAATTATGTAAGACTGGCTACAAAGATGTACCGTGGCAGCCTGCTAGACATAATCAACCATTTGAATGCCAGAGTAAGTCCAGGTTAATGTAACCTGGCCTGTTATATACCTACTTACAACTAAAGTAACTCCAAATATAATGATACACTGGAGTTCTAGAGAAATTCACAATATTTGTATAATGATACGCATGAGTTGTTCTAGAGAAATTCACAATATTTGTATAATGATACGCATGAGTTGTTCTAGAGAAATTCAAAATATTTGTAAAATGATACGCATGAGTTGTTCTAGAGAAATTCACAATATTTGTAAAATGATACACTTGAGTTGTTCTAGAGAAATTCACAATATTTGTAAAATGATACACTTGAGTTGTTCTAGAGAAATTCACAATATTTGTAAAATGATGCACTTGAGTTGTTTTAGAGAAATTCACAATATTTGTAAAATGATACTCTTCTAGTTCTAGAGCAATTCACAATGAAATACCAATGGTAGCGTAAACTTATGTAATCCAGCCATTCCGTAATCTGACATCCTGTCAGTGTGCAGTGTTATCCCATTAGATAAAATAAATAATTTAAAAATAAAATGCAAAAAAGATACTACTATTCAACAGAATTGTGTTGGATCCATCAGAGAAAATACATTGTAAAATTTCTTTTAATTTCAGAGTGTAAATGTAACAACCACGCAGATGATTGTAAATTTGACCCGGCGGTTTACGAGCAGTCGGGTAAAATCAGTGGAGGAGTTTGTATAGACTGTCAACACAACACCATGGGCAAGAACTGTCAGGAATGTCGCACCTTTTACTACCAGGATCCAAACAAGGACATCCGTGATCCAAACATCTGTCAACGTAAGTAGTAGGGTCCAAAAAAAAAACAATCTTGATCCGAACATCTGTCAACATAAGTAGTAGGGTCTAAATAAAAACATCCGTGATCCAAACATCTGTCAACGTAAGTAGTAGGGTCCAAAAAAAAACCCATCCGTGATCCGAACATCTGTCAACGTAAGTAGTAGGGTCCAAATAAAAACAATTGTGATCCGAACATCTGTCAACATAAGTAGTAGGGTCTAAATAAAAACATCCATGATCCAAACATCTGTCAACGTAAGTAGTAGGGTCCAAAAAAAAACCCATCCATGATCCGAACATCTGTCAACGTAAGTAGTAGGGTCCAAATAAAAACATCCGTGATCCAAACATCTGTCAACGTAAGTAGTAGGGTCCAAAAAAAAACCCATCCATGATCCGAACATCTGTCAACGTAAGTAGTAGGGTCCAAATAAAAACATCCGTGATCCAAACATCTGTCAACATAAGTAGTAGGGTCCAAATAAAAACATCCGTGATCCAAACATCTGTCAACGTAAGTAGTAGGGTCCAAAAAAAAACCCATCCGTGATCCGAACATCTGTCAACGTAAGTAGTAGGGTCCAAATAAAAACAATTGTGATCCGAACATCTGTCAACATAAGTAGTAGGGTCTAAATAAAAACATCCATGATCCAAACATCTGTCAACGTAAGTAGTAGGGTCCAAAAAAAAACCCATCCAACGTAAGTAGTAGGGTCCAAATAAAAACATCCGTGATCCAAACATCTGTCAACATAAGTAGTAGGGTCCAAATAAAAACATCCGTGATCCGAACATCTGTCAACGTAAGTAGTAGGGTCCAAATAAAAACATCCGTGATCCGAACATCTATCAACGTAAGTAGTAGGTCTAAATAAAAACATCCGTGATCCGAACATCTGTCAACGTAAGTAGTAGGGTCCAAAAAAAACCCCATCCCTGATCCAAACATCTGTCAACGTAAGTAGTAGGGCCAAGGTAGATATTTGAGTTCCAACACAGAAGAAAAAGGTCTCAAAAAATTGTATTTAGCATGTCTATTACATATACTTCCAGTATATGATTTCAACTCAAGATATATGATTGTCTGTTACGAATAGTTCCAGCCTGTGATAGCGACCAGAGATATATAGTTTTGTCAGTTATGAATACTTGCAGCCTGTGATTGTGACCCAGAGATATATAGTTTTGTCTGTTATGAATACTTGCAGCCTGTGATTGTGACCCAGAGATATATAGTTTTGTCTGTTATGAATACTTGCAGCCTGTGATTGTGACCCAGAGATATATAGTTTTGTTTGTTATGAATACTTGCAGCCTGTGATTGTGACCCAGAGATATATAGTTTTGTTTGTTATGAATACTTCCAGCCTGTGATTGTGACCCAGAGATATATAGTTTTGTCTGTTATGAATACTTGCAGCCTGTGATTGTGACCCAGAGATATATAGTTTTGTCTGTTATGAATACTTGCAGCCTGTGATTGTGACCCAGAGATATATAGTTTTGTCTGTTATGAATACTTCCAGCCTGTGATTGCGACCCTGAGATAAATTATTGTCTGGTCCATATTATTCCAGCCATTGATTTTGACCCAGAGATATATAGTTTTGTCTGTTATGAATACTTGCAGCCTGTGATTGCGACCCTGATGGTTCTCAGTACCAAGGTAACTGTGATAGCCACACTGATCCTGCGTATGGCCTGGAGGCTGGTCGCTGTACCTGTAAACAGTATGTCACGGGCAAACGCTGTGATGTCTGTAAAGATGGACACTTCAATCTGACTTCAGACAACCCTTATGGCTGTGACAGTAAGTATCTATTCTAATGATTGACAGCTTTAATTTCTATTCAATTTTTATACTAATACAAGCCGAAACTCATTCAGTCCAATAAAACACCACATACAGCGATACCTCCTGTGGGAAAGATACTTACTCTTGTTTTATATTAGAGTATGGGTACAGTAATAATAATAATTTTTTTCAGCCTGTATATGTAACAACTTAGGGACCATTGGCAACCACGGCTGTGAAAAAGATTCTGGACAGTGCTTGTGTAAAAGATACGTGACAGGAGTGAAGTGTGACTCATGCCATGTAAGTTGTGTCTGTGATAGACATGAAATGTGACTCATGCCATGTAAGTTGTGTCTGTGATAGACATGAAATGTGACACATACCATGTAAGATCTGCCTGTGACATACATGGAATGTGACACATACCATGTAAGAACTGCATGTAATAGAGATGATATGTGACATATTTGAGTTGAATCTTGCAGTTTTATCATTGCAAATATTCAGTATTTTCAACAACAAAAAAACGTTTGTTCTACTTTCATAGATTTTAATTGTATGGAAATTGGAAATGGAGTACACAAAATAGAGAGATCTCTAAACCCCCAGATAGATGTTTAATACTGAAGTTAGGTCATTTTTCTTCTATCTGTCAAACTGTCCTGTTTAATGTTTATGTTAAAATGCTTTCTCAATTATGTTGATCTTTTCTCTGTTACTTCCATGTAAAATTTACATAAGTCTGTACTTGATCAAAAAATTCTTTAGAAGTCAGATGAGTTAGTTATGAGAAACGATGAGTGTACCGTTCATGGTTGTATTCATTGACTATTGTAGCCTGGTTTCTGGAACCTGAGTGGTGAGAAAACTGGATGTTCTCCATGTAACTGTGACCTGGGAGGGGCCGAGTCCGAGGTCTGTGACTCCCAGGATGGGCAGTGTATCTGTCGACCAAACATCGGCGGCCGTCAGTGTAACCAACCGGCCACAGGATACTACTTCTCACTGTTGGATTACTTCCGATACGAGGCAGAAGATGCTAGAGGAATCGGGGTAGGAATATTTTATATATATCTGTATTAGTAATTTTGGTTTTTGAAGCCCAACATATAAAGGACAATAGATCTTGGGTTTATTAGAGTTTTGGTTCTCGTGACATTTAACTTTAAAATTAATTTTTGTTATACTTTTTGTAAGGAAAAGCTTTTTGATTCTCTTGATGTCTTGAAATGTCAATGTTTAGTTAGTGATGTGATGTACAACTTCTTGTTTGTCATTGTTTGACAGAAAACCAGACTGTACACCCTTCCTTCCTACAACTACTCCATACTGCCTTGGAGACAGCAGTGGACTGGACAAGGCTTTATGAGGGTTAGCGAGGGCGATAGGATTGAGTTCATCGTCAACAACATTGATTTCCCGATGGATTATGACATTGTCATCAGATACAACCCAGCGGTAATTGTCTTGAACTGGATTTACAATGTTGTGCCATTTCCTTAGTCATGTTTGTTATCACCGACCCATAACAACTAGCCACACTGTGTAGTGATTATTCACATATATTTCACATGTCAAATTTACCAAAAGTCATAGCCAGAAGTGATAATAAGTCTGTGATGTAAAAAACATTTACTAAAATCCAGTCTTTTTTCCATGAAAAAAAAAGGTTTCGCAAAATGGCTTATTGATTATGTAGGAAAAAATGGATGTTTCCCATTGAGCATCAGATGGCAGAATTATTTCTGGTTTTGTTGGATACAACTGGTCTTTTTCTAATAAGATATAATTTTAATGTGAATTTTAAAATAAATTATTTTATCTTTTTAACGAAGTACACAACATATTGCTTGTTGGTATTGTAATCATAAAATTCACTTTACAACTTTTGTTGTGTATAAAGAGATAATCGCTTATTCAATTTACAAACTTCATTATAATCATTACCGTCTATTCTTAATGCACAAAGGAACCCGGTAAGTAACTTGTTGTAATTTATAAAGTCAAACCTGTGTTTAGAATAACACTGATGGTTTACATATCTATGTAAATAGTGGTGGTCTTCTTCAAGCAGGTTTGGCTATTAATTGTTGTTGGTGGGTTAAGTATGAATATTACAATTTGTTCGTAATTTTTACTGTTTGATTTGAAGGTTACCTTTTATATTTTTTACTTTGGATTTGATTTCTTTACTTCCTGTCATTTTCATTAATTATCTATTGAGGACTTAGAATTAAAAAATAGAAATATATACCTGGATGTCAGATGTACCTGGATGTTAGATTGATAATGTACCTGGATGTCAGATGTACCTGGATGTTAGATTGATAATGTACCTGGATGTCAGATGTACCTGGATGTCAGATTGATAATGTACCTGGATGTCAGATGTACCTGGATGTCAGATTGATAATGTACCTGGATGTCAGATGTACCTAGATGTCAGATTGATAATGTACCTGCATGTCAGATGTACCTGGATGTCAGATTGATAATGTACCTGGATGTCAGATGTACCTGGATGTCAGATTGATAATGTACCTGGATGTCAGATGTACCTGGATGTCAGATTGATAATTTACCTGGATGTCAGATTGATAATATACCTGGATGTCAGATGTTCCTGGATGTCAGATTGATAATTTACCTGGATGTCAGATGTACCTGGATGTCAGATTGATAATTTACCTGGATGTCAGATTGATAATATACCTGGATGTCAGATGTTCCTGGATGTCAGATTGATAATTTACCTGGATGTCAGATGTACCTAGATGTCAGATTGATAATGTACCTGGATGTCAGATGTACCTGGATGTCAGATTGATAATGTACCTGGATGTCAGATGTACCTAGATGTCAGATTAATAATTTACCTGGATGTCAGATGTACCTAGATGTAAGATTGATAATGTACCTGGATGTCAGATGTACCTGGATATCAGATTGATAATGTACCTGGATGTCAGATGTACCTGGATGTCAGATTGATAATTTACCTGGATGTCAGATTGATAATGTACCTTGATGTCAGATGTACCTGGATGTCAGATGTACCTAGATGTCAGATTGATAATGTACCTGGATGTCAGATGTACCTGGATGTCAGATTGATAATGTACCTGGATGTCAGATGTACCTGGATGTCAGATTGATAATGTACCTGGATGTCAGATGTACCTGGATGTCAGATTGATAATGTACCTGGATGTCAGATGTACCTGGATGTCAGATTGATAATTTACCTGGATGTCAGATTGATAATGTACCTGGATGTCAGATGTACCTAGATGTCAGATTGATAATGTACCTGGATGTCAGATGTACCTAGATGTCAGATTGATAATGTACCTGCATGTCAGGTGTACCTGGTTGTTAGATTGATAATGTACCTGGATGTCAGATTGATAATGTACCTGGATGTCAGATGTACCTAGATGTCAGATTGATAATGTACCTGGATGTCAGATGTACCTAGATGTTAGATTGATAATTACCTGGATGTCAGATGTACCTGGATGTCAGATTGATAATGTACCTGGATGTCAGATGTACCTAGATGTCAGATTGATAATGTACCTGGATGTCAGATGTACCTAGATGTCAGATTGATAATGTACCTGGATGTCAGATGTACCTAGATGTCAGATTGATAATGTACCTGGATGTCAGATGTACCTAGATGTCAGATTGATAATGTACCTGGATGTCAGATTGATAATTTACCTGGATGTTAGATGTACCTAGATGTCAGATTGATAATGTACCTGGATGTCAGATGTACCTAGATGTTAGATTGATAATTACCTGGATGTCAGATGTACCTGGATGTCAGATTGATAATGTACCTGGATGTCAGATGTACCTAGATGTCAGATTGATAATGTACCTGGATGTCAGATGTACCTAGATGTTAGATTGATAATTTACCTGGATGTCAGATGTACCTGGATGTCAGATTGATAATGTACCTGGATGTCAGATGTACCTAGATGTCAGATTGATAATTTACCTGGATGTCAGATGTACCTGGATGTTAGATTGATAATTTACCTGGATGTCAGATTGATAATTTACCTAGATGTCAGATTGATAATGTACAATTTATTTATATGTGCTGTTATATTCTGGATGTTTTTGTGTAGAATTTAGAAATGATTTCATTTTCAATAAAGTGTCACATTATTACAGGTGTTTTGTTAATTCTAACAAGGTAAAGGATATAACCTTTGTGTATGTGATAAAATATACTAGGGTAGACATTTTCCATTTGCACAGAGAGAAAATGAATAAGTTTTCAGTTTGTAGTAAATCCATTGAAATTCTTTCACTAATTTGAAAGAGAATTACAGCAATGTTTTTTTATATATTACACAATAGATGCAGGATGTTTGGGAGGATGTACGTGTCTATGTTATCCGTCCAGGGCCAGTCAACGAGTTTGGACCATGTGCAAACCACATGCCATCAGATGACGAGAAAGTAACCAATCTCATGACTAGTAAGTACAGTAGTTACAATAATTATAATGTTGTTCCTTACCTGTGACAATCTTGGTAATTTAAAAGGACCTGTGTCCTGTTGGATATATGCTAATGATCCTATCCTGTTGTTTTACAGACCGAAGTTACACAGTTGTGTCTCCACCTGCCTGTCTAGAGCCTGGAAAGGAATACACCATCAGGCTTGATTTCCGTCGCTTTAAAACCAATGCTGAAACACCAGATGCTGCGCTCAATATTGATTCAGTAAGTCTTACAGAACACTTTCTTAACAAGTAAATTCTGTGTGTTTTAGTGATTCATATCTGTTGGATCATTGGTAGTGATATTAATTCTATGAAGAATTTTTAAATCTTTGTCCCAGTAACATACCGATGGTGACATTAAGTAGCTGTTCCTATCTTAGGTTTATCTGTACAAATTAATGTAAATTAGAGGTCCATGGACTTCAAGGATCAGTAATTTAGTGTATAATTTCATAAATTTTGGGAGTCCTTAAGATTTCATGCATATTTATGTCATTTCCCTACATAGAATTTGATATTATTGCTATAGATTGTCCTAATCCCCAACATGGACACAGTGCCCATCTTCTATGGCCCAGGCTACCCTAGCTTCCTTAAGGAGGAGTTCCAGCGTTATGGCTGTTATAACTCACAGTTAAAGGCTTTCCAGGAGGAACCAAGAGATCTGTGTTATAACCTCACCTTCAGCATTTCTTCTGTTCTCCACAATGGAGCCCTGGGTAAGGGGAGATAATACACTGTTGGTAAGGGGAGATAGCACACTGTTGGGTGGTGAATTTTACTACACTAAAACAGGTCATGTGATATCATATTAATGGAAAAATTAATTTGCTTCAGAAAGATTCATGACATGAATATAATGAATATCAAAAGTGTATTGTTCAAACAAAGCCCTTTATATATACATGTGAAAAATTGTAGATTTGAATGACACATGTTTGCAAACATTAGATTTCAACCACACGATCGAGTGTGTTGATTATTTTCTGTCAAGTTTCCATTGTGTACACTTCTTACCTTGCTTTGTTGCTCACGTGTCTGCTGGTAGGTGATAGTGTAATCATTGAAATGTCACACATGAATTTTCTAAGAGGTCAGGATAAATGAATATCTATTAAATATCAGTTTGAAGGTGTTTACAAAGGTAGCTGTTGTGTTTTTTACAACAGAGTGTAACTGTGACTCGACCGGCTCTGTAGACCTTGAATGTAACCCTGCTGGTGGTCAGTGTCGCTGTAAAACCAACGTTGTTGGTCGACGATGTGACCGATGTGCACCAGGAACTTACGACTTTGGACCTGATGGCTGCAAACGTAAGTTGGGTGATTTTATTATCATAAATCCATCAGTGAGCTGTCAGTTATGACATCACAATATAAAACTTGAAATAGAATCATTGATTTTGAGAAACATTTCAAGATAAACTTTGTTAAAGAAATTTTGGAATTTTTTTTTAGTTTAGCTTAATAAACTTTTATATTACAAAACTAACTTTTTTTTATATATTGTAAAATTGTTAACCTTCACATGAGAAAGAAGTTACAAAGAGTGGATGCTTAGTGATCAATCCCTAACAAGTACATCTTTATTTTAGAATTCTGAAAAATCCATTATTACTCTGATTTAATTGTGACAAATAAAATGTAATCAATGTATACTTTATAGATTTAGAAAAATGATGCAGTAATCATTTTGTTTCTTGTTACAGCTTGCAATTGTGTTGGGGAGGGATCTCAGGACAATTTCTGTGACAAGCAGAGTGGCCAGTGTCTGTGTAGGCGTAATATAGGCGGCAGGATGTGTGATCGCTGTGTTGATGGTTACTATGGTTACCCCAGCTGTCGACCCTGTCAGTGTAACGGTAATGCTGATACATGTACAAATGACATCGGAGCCTGTCTTCAGTGTCGGGACAACACTGTGGGAAATAACTGTGAATCGTAAGTCATTTAATACTTATAAAGAGAAAGAAAGTTATAGGGGAGAAAAAGGCAGATGTCAATTTCACACACATCAGATGTTCTTTCTGCATTTATATACCAATTTCTAAAACGTGAACTCAAGATTTTTTCTCCCATGTTTATCCTGATTAGATGTGCCCCGGGATACCATGGTGACCCTCGTATCAGTTACCGCATTCCATGTGAACCCTGTATGTGCCCTGGTGGACCAGACAGTCCTATACAACATGCAGACTCGTGTAGTGTAGATCCATATAATCGTAACCTACAGTGTAACTGTAGACCAGGCTACCAAGGTATGTCAAGCTTTTAGAAACGTTTTCTGGTGTAGATGGAGCTCTCCTGTGTTACAATGAATCATGTGAAAAAGAATGTTTAACAATAGCTTATTTCACTCATTGTCTTCCAGACTGAATGTTGGTCTATCTTGATGTTAAGTCAGCACCTTGATTAACAAGTGTTAGAAATGTCAAAAAGTTCTATATAGTTGCTCTGTATATCATATTTGACCTTATCAGTGTTAACCGTAATTTGTACTTTGAACAGCTCCACGATGTGACCGCTGTGCTGATAACTATTTTGGTCATCCAAGCAAGCTGAACGGTACATGTGAACCCTGTATATGTAATAACAACATTGACCCAGATGTACCAGGGGGATGTAACACCACCACAGGACAGTGTCTCCTCTGTCTCTTCAACACTGAGGGTTTTAACTGTGAACGCTGTAAACCTGGTTACTATGGTGATGCTACAACACAAAGCTGTAAAGGTAAGATTACCACCGTGATCCTTAAACAAAAATGTTAAAGTTAAGGTTACCATGACAACCGCTACAACATAAAAAAAAAATTGTAATAGTAAAGTTACTATGATGATCTACGCTAGGCTACAGCACAAAACTGTAAAGATAATGTTAACATGACAAAGTCACAACACAAAACTATAAAGATAATGTTAACATGACAAAGTCACGACACAAAACTATAAAGATAATGTTAACATGACAAAGTCACAACACAAAACTAAATATAATGTTAACATGACAAAGTCACAACACAAAACTATAAAGATAATGTTAACATGTCACGACACAAAACTGTAAAGATAATGTTAACATGTCACGACACAAAACTGTAAAGATAATGTTAACATGTCACGACACAAAACTGTAAAGATAATGTTAACATGTAAAGATAATGTTAACATGACAAAGTCACAACACAAAGCTGTAAAGATAATATAAGTACAGTTACACTACAACAAAGAAATGTAGCGCTATGATATAAAGGTAAGTTGGTGCTCTCAGCAGATTTATAAAGAGGTGTTACATAAGAGAGAAATTGTGAATTAGCATCAACATCTGTCACCTACAGATAGATATAGTCAATTAGATGTTTGTAACGAACCAAAGAACCCAAAGAGAAAGTAGTTTAAAGTGAATCATTTCTCAAAGAATAAAGAAAAGAATAGGGTTGTCTGTAATATTTATGTTACAGATCTCTGATTTTGTGTTTTAGAGTGTGTCTGTGATAATTATGTTACTGATCTCTGATTTTGTGTTTTAGAGTGTGTCTGTGATAATTATGTTACTGATCTCTGATTTTGTGTTTTAGAGTGTGTCTGTGATAATTATGTTACTGATCTCTGATTTTGTGTTTTAGAGTGTGTCTGTGTTACTGATCTCTGATTTTGTGTTTTAGAGTGTGTCTGTGATAATTATGTTACTGATCTCTGATTTTGTGTTTTAGAGTGTGTCTGTGATAATTATGTTACTGATCTCTGATTTTGTGTTTTAGAGTGTGTCTGTGATATTTATGGAACCGACCGTGACAGTGGTCCCTGTGATAGGGAGAGTGGTCAGTGTCCTTGCCTTCCTAATGTGGAAGGCCAGAGTTGTGACCAATGTGCAGCTGGCTTTTGGAACATCACCAGTGGAGAAGGCTGTACTTCGTGTGGATGTGACCCTGAGGGCTCTTTAGGACCAGAGTGTAACCAGGTAAGTCTTATAAGCCTTTAGGGTTACTATGGAGACAGATCAGATACACGTAGGCAACAACTAGGCATTCGTTAATTGTAGGATCCTGGTTAACAGGTCCTGATGCTATACTCAGTAAAGAAACAAGTGGTTGTCTGTTCTTTCAGCTAATTTTTGAAACTTCAACAATTTTGATTGGAAATTGAGAAGGTATTCTTAATGTTGATATAACACCTTGAGGTTTCATACCCTTAAATTATTAGATAAGGCTTTGTTAATTGGGGTTCCCTCATATAACACTGAGGTTACATACCCTTAAATTATTAGATAAGGCTTTGTTATTGGGGGTTCCCTCATATAACACTGTGAGGTTACATACCCTTAAATTTTTTGATAAGGCTTTGTTAATGGGGGTTCCCTCATATAACACTGTGAGGTTACATACCCTTAAATTATTAGATAAGGCTTTGTTCACCCTTCAATTATTAGATAAAGCTTTGTTATTGGGGGTTCCCTCATATAACACTGTGAGGTTGCAAACCCTTAAATTTTTTGATAAGGCTTTGTTAATGGGGGTTCCCTCATAAAACACTGTGAGGTTACATACCCGTAAATGTTTTGATAAGCCTTTGTTAATGGGGGTTCCCTCATATAACACTGTGAGGTTACATACCCTTAAATGTTTTGATAAGGCTTTGTTAATGGGGGTTCCCTCATATAACACTGTGAGGTTACATACCCTAAAATGTTTTGATAAGGCTTTGTTAATGGGGGTTCCCTCTCTGTAATAGAATCTTTAAACCAAATCTTCATCGTTCTGATTTATACATCTTACGTACAGTATAGCATGTTCTTCATGTTGTTTGATAGACTTGTAGGAAACTGGATTGTCATTGCTTCATGCAACTTTATCTTAGTTTTTTTGAAGAGCAAGTAAGGGGTAGGACTTTGCCTGCAACTTGTAGTTTCACATAGGGTTACTGTCATAGATCAGTATTTAGGTAATTATCTTTGGAGTTGTTTCCCTTGTTTCAGAAGTCTCTGTTCGTGAAGAGAAATCTCATGCTCTCTTCTTAAACTGAAAAAGGCAAGATGCCTTGTTATGACAGTCATAAAAGATTTGTGCTTGCAGGACTGTGCAAGACTCTGTATCTAGACCCTAGGCAGCTGTGTGTCTGGAAAGACCAGACTGTATGATATATTTTCATGAACATGTTTTTTCCTATGTAATAAAACTATATTTTACTATTCTTGCAATTTAAGGTTACTTGTTAATTTCTGGTGTTACAGTTTGATGGTCAGTGTCAGTGTAAAGATGGTCGAGGAGGCCTGGACTGTAGTGAGTGCCCAGCAAACTACTGGGGAGACCCGACTAGGGAATGCTATCGTGAGTATCGTTGTATCAATAGATGTTGTAAATAATCTGGATTAATAAGGTAACAGAAAGTATTTGAACATATTTTATTTTGAGCATGGTTCGTAATTCTGTAAATGTTTTAGTATGTATAGATTATGTAAAAGTTGATCTGTCTTTTCAGCCTGTGATTGTGATGGTCAAGGATCCAGCCAAACTCAGTGTGATCGTCGTACTGGTCAGTGTATATGTCTGACTGGTATTACTGGATACAAGTGTGACCGATGTGCTAGAGGTACCACTGGAGAACTACCTAACTGTAAACCGTGTGGAGACTGTTTTGACAATTGGGACAGAATCATCCGCGACCTCTCTGGTACATATTGTATTGTATTTTTGCCCAAGTCACTTATTGCCTGCTCTTGTTATTTATTATACAAAAACAGGGAAGCTATAGCTGTAAAGAGTTTAATAGTTATTACCATGTATTCAAGTGATACCATGAATAATAAGTTCATTATCTCCAGCATATTGAGGACAAATCAAATTTTTTTATGACATGAAATCATTTACACAAGACCATTTCATGAAAACAGATTTAGTTCCTTAATAGTAGACAAATACTTTTATATTACAAGTAAAACATAAAAAAATTAATTTTATTTCAGCCCAGACATCCAGACTGTTGGATGATGCTACAAGGATCAAGACTACAGGTGCTGAAAGGGCCTTTGACAAGGAGTTCAGACAGATGGAACAAAACATGGACGAAATCAGGCAGATTGTAAACAGTGCTAGCGTAGCCTCTACAGATATGAAGGATCTGGAGGACATTCTCAAGCAGCTGAGGTAAAGTCTTAAAATAATGGTGGTTCTGTGAACTTAATTTTTGTTTGACCTTTATTCTTTGTGGCACTTCTAGGCCTGTCAGCTTATTACAAATAGATGGCCGACAAAATGAGTTTCTAATCCATCTCAAATAGTGTTTCCATTATCAAATTTTTTAAACACTTGATTGTGTCCTGGCATAGACTTTTCGTTCTATAGAGTTAATTAAGATACTGTCTTTTAAACTTACTCAATGACTATATTGTACTTTCCTCTCCTCAAATAGACACATCCTATTTTCCAAAATTGCAGGGACCCCCAGTTTGTATGCAACATGTTTTGCAAGCTGAAATATTTTTCCTTCAGTAAAATCTTTATTACAGGGGAGACAACTAGGAATTTGTTATTTTCCAGTAAGAACTTTTATTAATATGTTGTAAACACAACTTTATTATTTGGCAATGACATATATTTCCATGTGGTATTTTGAAGTTTTCTCTCAGATATAAAATGTATGTGAGAAATTATGAATTTTGTATTCATGTTTGTTCTTTTTAATTACTCCTGAATCTGTATCCTCAAAACATTTGTAAATGTTGCAGACAAAACTTGACAGAAAGCATGGATAGACTTGATAGTACAGAGACAGGACTGGACAACAGGATGGACAATATTCGTCAGGGGAACAACAACATTCGTGCTCTTCAGACACGAGTCAATGACCTCAAACTCAAGGCTGACCAGCTCGTTAAGAATGCTTCAGCCATCCGTGCCAAGGATGTAGAAGGTGGGTTGTATACTGATTAAACGATAATGATGTAAACAGATTTGTTGTAGTCCCGGAATATGCAGCAACATTCCTGTAAACATAAGACACTGATTAATGTAACTGAAAGTTTCTTGGGGATTTTGATAAACTTCTCTACAAATGTCACCTACCTTGGACCTATGCTTTATAATTCGATCAACAAAACCTCAGTTATCATTTAGAAACTTTTCAAACACTGATACTTATAAACATGGGAGTGAAAGCATTCATGTTTTAAAGATATTTTTTTGATAGTTAACAAACATTCCCAAGTACTATCTAATGACAAAATCATGTTGTTTTTTGCAGGAGCTTATAATATCACTAAAGAGGCCAAGCAGCGATCACAGATGGCACAAGCCAAAATCGACAATACTCAGTCCATTATGGATGAAGCAGAACGTATCACATCGGAGACAGAAAGACTACTGGCAGAGGGAAAGGATAGGTTTGACAGCCAGTTAGCTGAAAACAAAGAGAATTTGGCCAGTCTTGATGCTTCAGTCAGTGGTCTGTCTAACAGAATAGCTGACATCAATGAAATGGTTAGTGGCTACAACATAGATTCATCTAGTATTCAAAAGTAAACAAAAGTCTGTTAGTCACAACAAGCTAGGATTGAGATGTAAGAACCTACATCTGATATTCATTATCATCACTAGAGTGTAAACTTGAGTCTGTGGTATAGGAATCAAAGCTTTTATTGATTTGTTACATCATGCTGTCTTACTACAGGTTTGTGATGGGCGTGGTGACCCTTGTGATGACATCTGTGGAGGTGGAGGATGTGACAAGTGTGGCGGAGTAGGCTGCGATGATGGAGCAGTCACCAAGGCTGAAGATGCTATCAAATTGGCCAAGGATGCTGAGAGTCTGCTGGCCATGAAAGAAGATGATGCGAATAATCTCCTCAGCAGTGTATGTCAACATAATACACGCCATTACATAATATTTATGATTATTACTAGTATATGTCTCTCATTAGTTCAAAACCTTTCTAGCTTGTCCAGTGAGGGTAGATCCTTAAAAAGATTTACCGACAAATGTTTTTTATACTACTCAGGTAGCAAATATTTGCCATGGATTTCATCTCGCACTATAGTTGATGGTTTTTGAGTGAAAGTAAATCTCCCATGATTACTACGTAAACAGTATGTGGTTATGTATATAGCTGGCTGTAGAGAGATATAAGACTATCTGTGTTTGTGGACCAGTAAACTTATCCATAGCATCTGCTTTGTTACAGATTAACACAGTACAACAAGGAGCTGAGGAGGCTAAGAACGAAGCCACCATGGCCTACAATGCTGCACTTCGTGCCAAGAATGAGACCGAGATGGCTCGCCTTATGTTGGAAACTCTTCTCAATAAAGTAGCAGACGTCTTGTTACCATCTTCAGGAACACCAGAAGAAATCAGAAATGTAGGTGTAGATCTGGATAAACACGGATTATTGACTGGTGGATAGCACTTTGTCTGCTGGTTTAGGAAATGAGTAGATTTCTTACATCTTCAGACATTGTGTCTAATCTTCATGCTTTCATTTGTGATGCACATGACTGAAATTTCATCATCTTAATAGCAATCCAAGCTGTTCAGTTTCACTCATTGTTGAATTTGCACTTTATTAGATTATCAAAAACTTTATACATAGTATATAAGTTTGAGATTTAACTTTAAACATTCAACAGACCATTCATTATTTCGGTATTTACAAACGAGTGGTAGAAGAGATGTCTAAAATGTGTGAGGAGTTTCACCATGTATATTATGATTAAGTGCTGTAGTATGAAGGTCATTGTATTACCGTAACACTAGTTACGATGAGCTTTAAATATACTTGTAATTTTCCTGTAGATTGCTGAGGAAGTTCTTGCCATGAGCATTTCTCTGAATCCAGAACAGATCACTGCTCTGGCTGATGAGATCAACAAAACCATTCAAGGTCTCCAAAATATTGATGTCATCCTCAATGCAACTAGTGATGACTTGAACTTGGCACAGAAACTGAAAAATCAAGCTGAAATGGCGGAGTAAGACAAATGTTTTCACATATTTTTCTGTTTATTTTGTCATGAATTCTTTTTTAATTTTCATATTTTGGTACAAGAGGAAGGATTCAGCATTAAGTTTCAGCATTTCATTTTGAATTACCTTGCTATGACTTGTGTTTGAATGAAATTTTCTTTATTTGACATTGTGTATGTTAAACATTAGAATGTACAGCTTGTGCAGTAAAGATCACCTCTATATCCTTACGTTACATGTTTACAGGGCAGATGCCAACTCCATACTGGGCAAGGCAGAAGATGTGTTAGATAATTTGCAGAGTGCAACAAGTGCCCAGGATGCTGCAGATCGTGCCATTAACCAGGCGGACAGCGACATCTTGGATGCAGAAAGGGATCTGACACAGGTACGTCTTCATGGCAATAGAAAGGCTATCCTGTTTAATAGTTATCTCACAAAATCGCCATTTGATACCATATTCCATGTATCATTTGTAGTTAAATCTATGTGTGGTTAACAAATAGAAGCAAAAGAACCGAAAATTATATAAATTGTAAAGAGAAGTCTTCAACAAAGCTGTCAGATCCTAAACATCTCAGTGTTCTGGATTCCAGTAATTTCACATAGTTAAACAAGGATTTTAGGTCAAAATCACTGCATTGAATCAAGGATACATATTCACAAGATTAAGGTTTTATACCGACCGACAGACTTACATCTGAAAATGCTTGTTAGATCACTTGAGACAATGTCTAATGGTGACCTATTGCAATCACCTACATCAGGCGTTGTGTTTCGTTTGGCTGTAAACAATTTAACATTTTTGACTTCTCAAAAACTCCTGATCAAATTTCAATGAAATTTTGCAGAAACCTTTCCTGGTCTAAGATGAACAAAAGTTGTGAATTATACAGTCCCCAACCCCTGGGGCCTGAGGGGCAGGCCAAAAGGGTCAAATTGACTTAAATTTCAAAAAGATATGGCAGAATCAAATGGTTTCCATGAATGGAAGCATTTTAAGGTGCTTTACCAAAGTTGTGAATTCCATGGCTCTAGGGTCTCACATTTCCCGGTGGGGAGGAAATTTTTAAAACTTTACTGTAATTTTCATAGAAAATTAGCATTTTTGAGCATAATGTTGGTTATCTCCCACTGAAAATAGTTCTGTAAGAATAGTATAGGATGACTGTTTGAGCATAATGTTGGTTATCTCCCACTGGAAATAGTTCTTTAAGAATAGTATAGGATGACTGTTTTGATGGTATGCATGTATTGACACTGGCTTGCTATATTCAGTGTCACAATTTCTTTTTCATGACACTTGATATTACCTTTTTAAGCTTTATATTCAACAGTACTTATCTCAGGTGACCATTCAGGCCGCTTGGCCTCTTGCTGTCTTATGCATATCATTTATGCATAATTTTTCATGGAAGGTTTGTGATTTTTGCATTTTTTGTAGATTGAGTCAGAAACAGCAGCAGCAGCAGAGAAATCTAACAAATCCCTACAGGTGTTAGAAGAACTGCGTATCCGACTGATCACCCTTGGTAACAAGTACATTGGTAATGGTCGTAAGGTGACGAGAGCAGAGGAGGCAGCTCGGGATGCATCTACTCTTGCCACCACAGCTGAGAGGGTTTGTATATCTTTAACACTTTTATTTTGTGGTCAGAGGACTGTTGTTAAATAAAGATCTATGCATCAATGTCTGTATATTACTGCTAGTTAATCATATATCGGCTAATCATTCATAACTTGTATAACAGGTGTTTGTCAATTTTGATTCAGAACTGAGTGGATATATATTGATATCAGGGGTTGTAACTAAACTATTATTGATCTTGAACACAGAAAGCTGATGAATTAGCTACCCAGTACACAGACACAGCCACTGAGCTCAACACCAAATACAACCTGACTTCCGTGGCACAGCAGCGAGCTCAGGATCTCAAGGACAAAGCTGACCGACTGGCAGGGGACACCACCACCAAACTGAGCAAACTGAGAGGTATTTATAACCAAGGGCACCTTCAACTATTCATTGAGTGATAAATGTAGATTGGAGTCTGTGTAAAAACTAAAAGCTACAAGTTACGTTTGTTAATTGTTGTTTTGCTGGTGTACTTCCATCTTAGCTTGAAAGGTTGATTATTGAAAGTTGTTAGCTTGGGTCACAGTTCTTAACCAAATAAAGTTAATAGATTTACAGTTTACTTTCTGATGCTCCATAATTATAATTTATTTGATCTATTCTTTCTGAGGTCTCCAGAAATCCAGGGGTCTCAAATCCCCTAGTATTTGATGATACATTGTTAATCCTGATGTGTTATAAGGGTTAAAAAAAATTCCAATGACAAAGGTCACTTTCTAAGACCAGGACTAAGGCATATACTGTTAACATGTAAAACATTGGAAGTGGGATAAAACTTATTGGCACTTTACATGTAACATTTCAAGCGGAAATCTGGATGAACCTGTTAATATTAATGCACTGTGGACAAATTATATTAAGTAGGTGATTTTGTTGTATAGCCTTAAGTTTCACGCTAATCATTATACATCAGTTAGAATAGAGAAACAAAAAAGAAAACTTTGAGTGGTCTGTCTGAACATTTAAAATCTTTTCTTTTCAGAAATGAATACCAACTTTAATACAAACAAGAAGAGGTTAGAGAAACTTTCTACAGATATTGATGATTTGAATAATCGAATGGATGAGTATCTACAAGCGATACGGGACAAGTCTGATAGCTATTTCAAGTGTAAAACCTAGTGATGTATTCTCTCTAGTGTTATGTGACAACTGTATACTGAACCTATACCTTCAATTGCATGTGACAAGTTGTAGGTTTTTTTTTAATTGTGCCATGGTACTCCCCTTTATCCTGTCTTTCTGTTTGACGCCTGTCCCCAGTCTCGTAAGATTGTTCACGACAGACTCTGGTTGTAATTATTTTTGATGTTGTGAGAATGCCAGGTCTTCTTTTTATATGTGTTTAGCGCAGTTTTGTAGTGAGAATCTGTTGTGATGAAAACTTAATTTATTTCATCATTTCTTTTTGTTGAAGGATATTTAAACTATCATTATTTTAGCTGCATTGTTTCAACAATGCTTCACTGATATTGAAAGACAAGTTCCGCTATGTGCACAAATATGAAATAAGAGAAGATCCTTATTTTTGGTATTTCTGTGATAATGGATATCTTTGTATTCACTATTGTGGAAAATTAAATCATTTGGATCATGAAAGCTATCACCTCAAACATTGGTTTGTCTCATCTGTTTTCAGGTCATTTCTCCCATAGTTGTTATGGTTTGGAAGATCATTTGTTCTGTTACTAAGGTGCATTTTCTACAGTTCTGTCATTTTTTAGGGGTAATTATTTGCATTTGTAGTTCAGTTGTGTTGCATGTCAGAATATATATGTATGTGTATGTGCAGCTGTATCAATGTGTGATGTACACATGTGTGAAATCATCGCATATACAACTGTAAAACTGGCCAGGGCTAAAAACGGACACAGTTAACTACCTACAGAATCTGCAGGTTGGCCAAGTACAATTTGTGGCAGTGTCACAGCGACCTAGATGCAAAATCTGTAATTATGCCGAGAACAAACAATGTCAAGGTCACAACAACATTAATACAGAATCTAATCATGGCCAGTTTCAAGTCCAGACAAGGTCAAAGAGACCTTAACACAGAATCTGCACCATACTAGAACAATTTACGAGTGAATCACTGCGACCTAGATAGACTTTTTAGTCCTCCAGATTACAATAAGTCATGATAAAGGGCTGCTGTGGCCTTTAGTCGTCTATACTTCTACCTAGTAAAATGGGCCATGACACGGATTTTGTTTCATATGCTATTCTCCATACCCAGTGTAAAAGGTGATGGCAGGATACCGAGACCTAGCTAGGTAATCTGTACTCACCTGTGGTAGTATATCCTAGCACTAGTGTCCATATACGATATTATACCAGAGCAAGTTAACTCCTGGGGCTGTGTAATTCATATGTATGATAATTAGTTTAGTGTATATAGTATAATAATTTTTATTACAATTTTTAAAGTCATCAATTTTTATATATAATCATCATTTTGTATGCTGTGTTGGTTCGCACTCTGTTTTATATGTATCTTGTTACTGATGTATACCTAGTTTGTAAAAATTATTACAAATCAAAAATCCTGACAAATCCAGTGTATTATTGAACATTCTCATCTCTTCATACCATGATTTATCTTCTTCTGTATCAGACAAACTTATTTAATTCATCTTGTATATGAATTCTTTATAAAACATGTTTGTGTGCAAGTCCTGTGTTTAAAGCACCTTGCTGTATGTTAAATGATCATGCCCTTTGAATCAAATTGTGAATGATTAAAAGATGGAATAAAAACTGATGCCTAAAAAACAATGAGTTTATCCAAGATTTTTTCAAACTAAATTATTTCATTTTGAATTTTAATATATTAATGTCATGGTTTTCACTGCTATTGATAGACTAGTTTTTTAATTTTAGTGGTTGTGCTGTTTTATGTTTCCAATATTTCACAAATTGATGGGCATCTTTTTTTTTTTACATAACACAGGTTTGTACATTCAGTACGCAATGAAAATCTGTTGTTATTACAAACACAATGGTGCTATTGTTCTTTTCTTGTCATATCAGAAGTTAGACATATGAACAATTCAAGTCAATAAATTTTCATCAAAAAATTTTCAAAGTGTATTTTTTGTTCTCTCTCGTCGGTATCTGTTAAATAGAGTTTTATGTGTACTCATTTCATACCTGTATTAAATATTTATTCTAGATCTGTCAGCATAATACAAATTTCTTCTTGTCTATCTGTAGGTGAATTGCAAGGTCATTCTTACTACTTTTATACACAAACTTAGAATGATACCGGTGTTGATGTCATCTTACAATTATGAATGATTGTAGATTTGCCAGTAAATAATTACTTCTTGTCTTTCACTCTGACCCATAAAACTTACGTGTATATTGAGTTTTGGACTAAGGTTGTATATAGAAATCCAGATACCCAGTTATTGGGGCAGTGATGATGCTCAAAAGATTAATTTGATTTGTACTGTGTCTATACCGTACTTTAGTGAAGTGTAATGTATATGAAGGATGTTTTAACTTAAAACACTTAAAAATGCCATTTAAAAGACAATTTTTACTTGATTTTTTTGTAATAAATGTGAAGTCTTTAAATTCAATAATTAAATTTATTTTCAATATTTTTGTTCAACTAATTTATAAGTATACAATGTCTATGGAAGAGAGCTTTCTTTATACCTCAGATAATTGATAATGTATCATTTTTATCTATGAAAAATATTTTACATGAAAACTGGAGATTGACAGATACCTAAGATTATCAGTGATTGTTACCAATATCTGTGTCACTTGAAATTGCACCAAGCTATACAGTTACTGTGATACTACAACCACAGAGTATTCTGTGTGATATAATAGTGGTCAGAGTACTCTTTGTCTGTAGTGAGCATCCAAGAACTCACTGTAACACTAGTGTCAGAGTACTCCTCTCTGTAACACTAGAGTGTCCGAGTACTCCTCTCTGTAACACTAGAGTGTCCGAGTACACCTCACTGTAACACTAGAGTGTCCGAGTACACCTCACTGTAAGACTAGAGTATTGGAGTACACCTCACTGTAACACTAGTGTCAGAGTACACCTCACTGTAACACTAGAGTGTCCGAGTACTCCTCTCTGTAACACTAGAGTGTCCGAGTACTCCTCTCTGTAACACTAGAGTGTCCGAGTACTCCTCTCTGTAACACTAGTGTCAGAGTACACCTCACTGTAACACTAGAGTGTCCGAGTACTCCTCTCTGTAACACTAGAGTGTCCGAGTACTCCTCTCTGTAACACTAGTGTCAGAGTACACCTCACTGTAACACTAGAGTGTCCGAGTACTCATCACTGTAACACTAGTGTCAGAGTACACCTCACTGTAACACTAGAGTGTCCGAGTACTCCTCTCTGTAACACTAGAGTGTCCGAGTACTCCTCTCTGTAACACTAGAGTGTCCGAGTACTCCTCTCTGTAACACTAGTGTCAGAGTACACCTCACTGTAACACTAGAGTGTCCGAGTACTCCTCTCTGTAACACTAGAGTGTCCGAGTACTCCTCTCTGTAACACTAGTGTCAGAGTACACCTCACTGTAACACTAGAGTGTCCGAGTACTCATCACTGTAACACTAGTGTCAGAGTACACCTCACTGTAACACTAGAGTGTCCGAGTACTCCTCTCTGTAACACTAGAGTGTCCGAGCACACCTCACTGTAACACTAGTGTCAGAGTACACCTCACTGTAACACTAGTGTCAGAGTACACCTCACTGTAACACTAGAGTGTCCGAGTACACCTCACTGTAACACTAGAGTGTCCGAGTACTCCTCACTGTAACACTAGAGTGTCCGAGTACTCCTCTCTGTAACACTAGAGTGTCAGAGTTCTCCTCACTGTAACACTAGAGTGTCCGAGTACTCCTCACTGTAACACTAGAGTGTAGGAGTACTCCTCACTGTAACACTAGAGTACACCTCACAGTGTTAGAGTACACCTCACTGTGACAGAATACACCTCACTGTGTTGGAGTACACCTCACTGTGTCGGAGTACACCTCACTGTGTTGGAGTACACTTCACTGTTTTGGAGTACACCTCACTGTGTCAGAGTACACCACACTGTGTCAGAGTACACCTCACTGTGTCAGAGTACCTCACTGTGTCGGAGTACACCTCACTGTGTTAATGTACACCTCACTGTGTCAGAATATTTCTGTGCCATGGTATTGGGGTGAGACCCTATATTCCTTGTAGTTTTACAGAGTACACCTCACTGTCACACTAGAGTGTAGGAGTACACCTCACTGTGTCAGAGTACACCACACTGTGTCGGAGTACACCTCACTGTGTCGGAGTACACCTCACTGTGTCAGAATATTTCTGTGCCGTGGTATTGGGGTGAGACCCTATATTCCTTGTTGTAGTTTTACAGTTTCTGTGTGCTTGCTGCTCCTGATACTTGGACTATGATTTAAACTTTTGACAAGACGACGTCAGTTTGACCCGTGTTTAATCATCCCCATCATGTGAATTCAACTGTATTAAATTACCAGCTATGATGTATCATTTGTCAGTGTTTGTTCTTTATTCTTAAATTCTGTGACCTAATTATCAGTCTGTGTTTTATCATCTCGGTCAGCAGATACTTCATCATATAACCGGAAAATCTTACATCACTCACTCTGATGACAGACTATTATGATCTCCAAAATCTATGGAATTTATTCTAGAATACTTCCAACTTAAGAGGGAAACAAAATATAAAGCCTGGAATTTTACACTCTATCAAAGCATTAAGATGGAATCTTAATATATGTTCTTGGCAAAAAACCCTTGAGAGGAATATTTTGTCTGCTAAAGCTAGATAATGGAATCAACATGGTGCTGCAAAGCGGGGCGTTATCCCCTGCACCCAGCTGTTGGTGTAAAACCTAAATATGATGCACACATACTAGTATAACAATTGGTGATGTCACTCAGTTGTGTACTGCTACTATCACCTGAAGATCTAATAGAGTGAAAGTACTAGTGCAAAATGTGATTGTCTCCTTTTGTTAATTATCAATTAAATTTTCTTGCATTTCCTCAACTTCAACAATATATATATATATATATATATATATATATATCTTTCATATCAACCTTGTAGTAAGAGTTTATATTTTGATTTTTGAATAGAGCTTGGTATTGTCCATGAACAAATTTATGCAATACCCCATGATCTGTTGAATAATACATGAAGTCATAAAGAATCAAAGTTATGAGTTGAGTAGAATGGTTTTGAAGTTGTAGCCTGGAATAGAAAGTAAACACTAATTTTGTGTTTTCAGCTCACCTGGTCAAAACTGCCAACTTAGCTTATGCCGTGGTGCTGCGTTCCACATCCATCATCCGTCCAGTGTCAATTTTTTTCTTTTATCAACTTCTCAATAACCAACGGACCAAATATTTTGATATTTGGCTGGCTGGTATATTCCTAGGGTGAAGCCCGACAAAGTTTTCAAAAAGAAATGACCTTGACCTATATTCAAGGTCACAAGTGTTAGATTTGTTAAAGCCTTTAAAAGAATTTTCTTGAACTTTAAGGCCTAGTGGCATGGGTTTTGGCTGGTATGTTTCTAGTACCAAGCCTAACAAAATTTGCAAAAAGAAATGACCTTGACTTATTTTCAAGGTTAAAGGGGTCAAATTGTGTAAAACATTTAAATGTTTTTTCCTCCTGAACTAAAAAGGCCTAAAGGCATAATATTTGGCTTGTGTGTATATATATACCAGTTGAGCACTGCAGGCCCATTGGGCCTCTTGTTCTACTATATTTTCATAGTAAAAAAAAAAATAAAAAATGGAATGTTGTCAATAGCGAAAGGCACAACTTGAGCACTAACTGAATATGTACAAGTTTTGTGAAGTTGAGTTGAACAGTTTTGAAGTAATAGCCTGGAAAAGCCCTTGAATAGATGGATGGATGCACAGACAGAGCCCAAATTAATATCCCCTACTGCTGCAAATTTACTTCGCGGAGAGATAGAAATCCCAGTATTTAGTAGGCCAAGTGATACACAGGAAACTGTAGATATCAACTCCATATTAACTGGGCTAAACAGATGAATAAGGGGAACAACTCTATTAAGTGGGCCAAACAGATACACAGGAAACTATTGGGATCAACTCTGCATCAACTGGGCCAAACAGAGACACAGGAAACTAAGGGGAACAACTCTGTATTTAGTAAACCAAAGTGATACACAGGAAACTAAGGGGAACAACTCTGTATTTAGCAAACCAAAGTGATACACAGGAAACTATGGGGATCAACTCTGCATCAACTGGGCCAAACAGAGACACAGGAAACTAAGGGGAACAACTCTGTATTTAGTAAACCAAAGTGATACACAGGAAACTAAGGGGAACAACTCAGTATTTAGTGGACCAAAGTGATACCCAGGAAATTAAGGGGAACAACTCTGTATATAGTAGGCCAAACAGAGACACAGGAAACTAAGGGGAACAACTCAGTATTTAGTGGGCCAAAGTGATACACAGAAAATTAAGGGGAACAACTCTGTATATAGTAGGCCAAACAGAGACACAGGAAACTAAGGGGAACAACTCTGTATTTAGTAGGCCAAGTGATACACTGAAAACTAAGGGGAACAACACTGTATATAAGTAGGCCAAGTGATACACAGGAAACTAAGGGGAACAACTCTGTATTTAGTAGGCCAAGTGATACACTGGAAACTAAGGGGAACAACTCTGTATTTAGTAGGCCAAGTGATACACTGGAAACTAAGGGGAACAACTCTGTATTTAGTGGGGCAAAGTGAAACTAAATGTAACAAGTGAAACAACTCTGTATTTAGTAGGCAAAGTGATACACAGGAAACTAAGGGGAACAACTCTGTATTTAGTAGGCCAAGTGATACACTGGAAACTAAGGGGAACAACTCTGTATTTAGTAGGCCAAGTGATACACAGGAAACTAAGGGGAACAATTCTGTATTTAGTAGGCCGAGTGAAACTAAATGTAACAAGGGAAACAACTCTGCATTTAGTGGTGCATGATATGTCAGATTTTTGTCTGTCACCATCGGACTTAATATGAGACAACAGAAAAATTTGTCAGTAGAAAGAGAAAGGGTATTTTGGAGATCTACACTAGATATGGATGAAATAATAAAGTAAATCTAAATAAATAAAAAATAAACAGACATTAATGGTGTTGTATTATTCTGTGTCAGAATAAAACTTATTGAGAAACAAACTACATCATGGTATAGTCTTATTTTATTATTACTATTAAAAAGGATTTCATATAATATATATTCAATTCATTCAAACATCACATATCAATCTGAATACAACCATTACTATAGGGAGGTACAATTCCTGTGTATATTCTATCGACTCATTTTCAGATTTAGATACAAATAAACACATTAATAAAACATGCTCTGCTGTATTAGAAAATTTTTACGTCTTTACATACATCAATGATGTCATCTTTAAAAGTAAAAAACTTTACAAAGTAAAAAATTATGCTATCGTATTTAAAATCTATATATAGTGTTATATATTACCTTGTTCTTGTCTTATTCGGCGTTTAAACAACACCATTTAGTCATGATGTACCAATCAACAATCATGTAATCAGGTTGTCAGTTGTCTTTTCCAATTTCAAAAGATGACAATACTCCCAGCATTTAAACTCAGACTGTTGTACAGCTATTCTGAGAAATAATCATCCCTAGGCTTTTCTTTATAATACATTTATAATATCAACAATCATTTAACATGTAAGGAATAAGTTTTAACACAAACGCCAGTACAGGCAATAAAAACACATTTGTACACAGAAACTTGCTAAAATCACATCCAATCAGATTTACACCTGTCATGGTTGTCCTTTATGCTCTTGTGCAACAAAAGATGTTAACATCAAATGGATTCGGTGTTTACAGTGTTTTTACCAAATGTCAGAGACACCAGTGAAACTGGAGGGAATATATGAATGTCAGTCTATTTTAGGAAGTTGAGAGCTTAAAATCTTATCATAGTTAACTAAATGTAATTATATATCATATATTCATCCTCTTTGTCTGAGCATTAATTCAAGTAAAGACTTTGGAGGGTCATCACCATTTCGTTCAGTCACGTTAATTGTGACGTCACAAAAGAAAGACATGGAATAATGAACAAATTTTATATTTCATAAATCAACGGGAAAAAGAATTTACAGAAACCGTTTTCTATTGGTTACACCTTATTGATGAAAGCGCCATAATACTTGTACAAAGATGAACTAAATCTAAAAAAATAATTTCCTCTAACATTAAACAATACAGGTACGATAATGTTACACTGTTTCGAAACTCTATCAAATGCTCTTATTGGCCCAACTGCTCTTGTTGGCCCGAAAACTCTTGTTGGCCCAACTTCTCTTATTGGCCCAACTGCTCTTGTTGGCCCGAATACTCTTGTTGGCCCAACTTCTCTTATTGGCCCAACTGCTCTTGTTGGCCCAACTGCTCTTGTTGGACTGAATGCTCTTGTTGGCCTGAATGCTCTTGTTGGCCCGAATTGAAATGTTTCAGGAGGAAACTGGAGTAGGTGAAAGGCGAAAGCATTAATTTCCAAAGTGCCACCCAACTACCCACATCAATTGCCACCCTACTACCCAAATCAACTGCCACCCTACTACCCACATCACTTGTCACCCAACTACCCACATCACTTGTCACCCAACTCATGTATGTACAATTAATAGAAACATGATCAAATGAATCTAATTGAAGAATGATAAAATAACTACCAGACAATCATTTCTGACATGTCCTAGGAAATGGTCCTCCTATAATTGATACACAATCAATACAGTCCATAATACCATTATTTACAAAATGTCTCTTTGAGGAAAAGATGATGGATCAAAAATTTGATAAAAAGTACACAAACACGATATACATATTTACGATCCATACTAATTTTACTTGATACAGAATTCAAAGTCAATGATACTCATATACAACTGTATGTATGTATATCTCTAAAATTTCTACAGATTAATTCACATCCACACATTATAATTTCTTTGATATGTATTAAATATTTTTCCAAGTACTGGCATATAATCATGTGCCATCGTTAATCACACATTGGAAAAACTGTCAGACACCACAAGCATGACCATTATTTGTAATGAAGTATGAAACAGGACTATCATAAGGCAACGTGACAGTATCTGACACCGAGATCTACTAATACTGTACACGGGGAAACATGTGCCCAGGCTTTTATTTTGCCTCTCATAGAAATATTCGTGTTTGTAGAAAATTCACCTTAAAATTAAAATAACAACTTTAGCCACCAGTTTGATACAAGACATGCAATGTTCAAATATGACATATACACCTATTATATTTTCTAAGAATTCCACATCATTCTGGTGTACAGTTACATATTAATATCATAGCTATGTTCTATCACAGTTGACTGGATTTCATCGCGACAATTTTATTTTGAATAGAGGACTTGGATAGGCAAATCCCATACACTTCTGACATGCAAAAAAACAAGTTGAGGCCAAGCTTATCTAATTTTCAATACCATTATATATGCAGCAGTTCAAGTATGTCCACCAAGGAAAAGTAAGTAAAAATATATTCTTTGTTTAGTCAAAGTTTCTTTTATACGGACCAAATAAAAAAATTATTGGTTGCACAAATGTAAATTTGGCTTGATAAATTTAGAAATGTTCATTTAAATTTTTGTATAGTGATTATGGTATGTACACTATGTGTTAAGTGTAATCATTTTCCAATCAGATTTATAAACACACAAAAAAAATACATACCTTAACTGTCCTGTTAGCACATGTACCACCATACATACAAAATTAACCAGAGAGCAGTTAAAAGCTTTTAAGAAGGACAAGACAAAAGTGAATATATAGACTTATTATGATGTTCTGATGTGATATTATTAGTATTTGTCATCATTATAATTGGCGTAGTTTCTGACACCAGGCCTGATTGGTGCAGCCAAGCCATCCTAGGCTTCTGTTGTACCACGACCTCCATCGCGAAGCTTTTGCAAATTGTACTCAAAATTTTTACAGTAGAATAGTTGTACCCCACACAATCCGAATACTTCAGGGCTAAGGAGCTTGATCAGTTTTTCCTGGAAGAAACAGATATAACAGATGTTTAATGATTTACTGAACAAGCTTTACATTCACTATGACTTCATTTCCTCGTTTCAGCAGACAAACTATCCTGAATTATAACTTACTATCATTGTCTGAACACAACTGCCACATATATTTTTGCTGTTTTGGCTAGTGACAGAATAGAGCTGTGTTTTATCATGTGCATTTACTTTGACAAAATCGTTTTGTCATTTACTTTGAAATGACATTTGAAGATATTAGTAACTGTTGAAATAAGAGCTTTCATTTGTTGGAATGAACAACTATATTTACAAAAATTCATAAAATTGCTGTTAAATCAATTATTTTGGTGTATATCATCAGGTAACTTTTAGTGTCAACGACGACAAAGATTGGACGACAAATAGTTGGAAGTTTTGATACGAGATTTTAGATAAATGTTGCAGGATAAAGAGAATGTATGGTCAGTGTTTGAAAGTATAAGCTGCAATTTAGCTTGGGACAGAAGACAAATGTGGCATACCATTTTTGTCTTTCTTCACCGCGCTAAAATACAGCTTATATCTTAGAGCTTTCCAGTGGGAAATAAGCAATGTTATGCTCAAAAATGCAATTTTTCTATAAAAATTATAGTAAAGTTAACCTCCTACCCAGGAAGAAATGTGAGACCCTGGGTCATGAAATTTACAATTTTGTTAAAGCATCTGAAGGCCTTTCCATCTATGAAGACTACTTGATTCTACCACACCTGTGCTTTGAGAAGAAGATTTTTTAAGTTTCAATCAATTTGACATTTTTTGGCCTGGCCCCTCAGGTCCCTGGTGGACAATTATAATTGACAGTTGTGGTGCCCCTTTGGCCATGGAAGGTTTTTGTAAAATATCACTGAAATTGTTTCAGGAGTTTTCCAGAAGTAGTCAAAAATGTCAAAAATTTACAATGCACGAAGCAGGATAAAAGGGTATTGCAACAGGTCACCTTGAGACTTTGTCTCAGGTGATCTAACAGGTTATGCTGGAAAACCTATGTTTACTATATAGAGTGTTGAGAAATTTGAGTCTGGTTTGGTTTATCATAGACCAGGAAAGATTTCTGCTAAAGTGCATGAATGAAATCTGTTCAGTGGTTTTTGAGAAGTTGAAAATGTTAAATTGTTTACGAACGCACAACACTGGACAAAAGTGATCACAACATGTCACCATGGGACTTTGTCTCAGGTGACCAAATTATGTATTTTTATATATAGATACATATACAAGAGATCCAAGATAAATCCGGATGTCCACCATTGTTTGATTTTCATTTGTTTATAAAAGTTTGAATCTTTTCTCTTTTTGATCTTAATTATACAAATTTTAAGTATTTTTCTCAAGAAATTGCAATAATAATCCTCAAATATCATATAAAAGATGGTCGCAGTATTTTCTTTTTCTGACAATTGTAAAATCTAAAGGGCACTATAACGGAAATCTGCATATAAAATTTGAGAAAGATCCATTCAGTACTCCCCTTGAAATAGTCATAATATACTTTCATTGTCAAATTCAAGATGGCTGCCTGTCAGCCATGTTGTTTTTAAAATCAGTTTGAAAGCCAGATAATGCACCACTAGGGACCAAGTGGCCCCTACATTTGAAATCTGAAAATTCTCCAGATATGCTGATAAGGAATTTTTACTATCAATATTCAAGATGGCCACCTGTCAACCTTTTTGATCAATTTGATAATGTGATAGTGCACAACTTTACAAAGGGGAACCTACATATGAAATAGATCCATCCATTACTTCTCAAACTAGAAAATGTCTGTAAGACATGAGTGCCCCCGCCCCCCCCATGTGAAATAATAGTGAAAGGTCCGAAAGAGATGATTTTGTTAATTTGTATGCAACTATGTACAACTTAAGTTTCATACTTAAATTGACAAGTTGATTTAACGTACATGAATTTGGAATTTTGTTCTCTGGAAAAAATGAGGGAGTGTATTAGTTCCTTATGCCTTAAAACCCACAAGTACCAAATTATGTAGAAATAAGATGATGTTCCTCTTTTTTGAGTTATCTCCCCCTGGTGGCCATCTTTTTTTAGAATGCCGAGAAATTCAACACTGCATGAGGTCTTTTCATACTTGATATTTGTATGAAGTTTCATGAAAATTGCCTTCCGAATGAAGTTGTTAGGTGGTATATACTGATTTGGGACGCAACGCGACGCGACACGACGCGACGGACGGACATGGGCAACGCTAAATGGCGGGGGCATAAAAACAGTGAAAACAAGAATTGATTATGACTGATGGACAGATGATGGACCACAAACTAATGGACCACAGACCATGGACCACAGACCACAGGCGCAAGGCAATTTAAATAGCCCACTATCCGATGGTTTAGGGTTAATAAATAGAAAAAAAAAATTAACACTGCAAATGCAAGTTGGTGACCAAAAACATTTCCAGATCTAACATCTTTCTTGAAGCCATTATTTTATACAGTGCCTTAGTGACAATATCTTCATGTATCTGTGTGACGTTTCAGCTTACCTCCAACTTCATCTCATCATCTGTGTGATTAAGCATATCATAAGCCTTACGGAACATCTGTACGTCACCTTTCATCACACGCACACTATGTCTGTAAGGGAATCAGAATCAATATATACATACTTTTGTCACAAGAAATGTTTTTGGTTTCTCTTACTCTGTATTTCCAAGATAACCATTCAAATTTACCATACATGATAAAACTACATCCTTGTCCCTTGTAAATATAGCATCTCTAATGACTTTTCATTTCATATGAGATTTTATGAAACGAGTCGAAGTTTTTAATTTTTGGTGAGCATTAAAACATCATGTATAAAACGAATTGAAGAAACTTTTATTTTATCATATAACTCTGAAAAGTTACTTCTGAACAGGTTTTACAGTCAAAATATGGATGACAATATCACATGACTTTATGTCAAGGTTCAATGTCCATATAATAACATCACAATCACTTTCTGACAGCCAATAATTAATACTCCAGGGCAATTATTACACTAGTAACTTATACTTTTATTTATTTTACAACAAATGCAAACAAGTTTTCACAACTGACACTAATCTCTCTTGATTGTCTGATCGGAAGGGCAGGTGGCGGCTTACTGTGGGAGGAAACTAGAGAATCCAAGGAAAACCCCATGTGGCCAGGTAGGTGGCGTTATACCTTGTTATGTCTGGGAAATAAACCCCAGACACCTTGGTGAAAGGCATGTTCCCACTGCCACACCCAACCACACAGAGTATAATCAGGGAAGCGTGATCCCACTGCCACACCCAACCGCACAAAATAAAATCAGTGAAGCGTGTTCCCACTGCCACACCCAACCGCACAAAGCATAATCAGTGAAGCGTGTTCCCACTGCCACACCCAACCGCACAAAGTATAATCAGTGAAGCGTGTTCCCACCGCCACACCCAACCGCACAAAGTATAATCAGTGAAGCGTGTTCCCAATGCCACACCCAACCGCACAAAGTATAATCAGTGAAGCGTGTTCCCACTGCCACACCCAACCGCACAAAGCATAATCAGTGAAGCGTGTTCCCACTGCCACACCCAACCGCACAAAGCATAATCAGTGAAGCGTGTTCCCACTGCCACACCCAACAGCACAAAGCATAATCAGTGAAGCGTGTTCCCACTGCCACACCCAACCGCACAAAGCATAATCAGTGAAGCGTGTTCCCACTGCCACACCCAACCGCACAAAGCATAATCAGTGAAGCGTGTTCCCACTGCCACATCCAACCGCACAAAGTATAATCAGTGAAGCGTGTTCCCACTGCCACACCCAACCACACAAAGTATAATCAGTGAAGCATTTAAGTTTTTTTATGCTTCACAGTTTGAAAGCTTACCGTTGTAATTGGGCTATCTGGGCGAGAAGCATTTCTTCTGGAGTCAGTTGGCTACTATCTGGAAACAAAAGGTCAAACTATGTCAACAGGGGATCTTTTACATTTTACAAAAAACTAAAATTCTGCAAGGACCTACCTGTAGTATTGCTAACTTTATGTCACATAAAAAGGTTAAACCCACCCACCCAGTACATTAAAAATAAGATGAGAGATGGGAAAGTTAAGAGATTCATCTTAACAATTTTACACATTTACACACCCAAAAAGTCATAAGAAAGGACATTCTCCTTTGTTGTCTTGTGTGAAATCCATTTGTATATATGTAATCAAACCAGCACTGCGCTATCAACTGTATTGGTTCTATCATAAACAATGGACTTTAGCTTATCTGATGTGTATTGAGAAATGATACCAATTGTCAAACATCTTAACTACAAGCATTAAAAATGTTGTTTTTATGAGTAAACAATATTTGTGTTATGGATGTCTGAAGTCACATTTACACAAGAAGCTGTGTGTATACAAGAATATCATTAGGTATTTACCATCGCCTACAAATGCAAATGGTCCTTCGTCATCATCGTCACCTGTATCACCGTGACCCTGCAATATATCATTGAAATACACAAAGAGTTCAAGGTCATAATTAAAATTAAGGTAATCATTAAGATACACAAAGAGTTGAAGGTCATCAATCTGATCATATGTAGTACTGCTGAGGAGTAAACAAATAAACAAATAAAGTACATTAACATTGGGAATACAACACATGTATAACAAGAGGCACAATCAATCTTCATTAATTGCTTTAATTATTATAAATCAAAAAGCTGAGGGCCTTTAAGATGCTGTACACGATGTATCAAAATAAAGGAATACAGCAACTGCATATCACAATATGTTTTTATTTAGCGTAAAAATAATCCGTCCTCCAACTGTAAATCATCGAGAAAAAGTATTTTCTATATATAACAAGTATCATCATCAGTGGTGACACTGTAAACTTGCATTGATGACAATATTTGGATGATACTAAAATATCAAAATGTGATCTTTAATCTATGATGCATTTGCTTGTCTCAGATAGGTAGGTCTAAATCAACATACATATGGAATTAGGTAGGTCTAAATGAACATACATATGGAATTAGGTGGGTCTAAATGAATATACATATGGAATTAGGTAGGTCTAAATCAACATACATATGGAATTAGGTAGGTCTAAATCAACATACATATGGAATTAGGTAGGTCTAAATCAACATACATATGGAATTAAAATGGTGAAACATTGGTTGATTTAAGCTGTCACAAAAATGAAAAGTGACTAGGGTATATTCAAGTTGTACACGGTTGATGTGTTATGCCAATGACAGGTGGACAAAACAATAGATCCTGTAGATATTAGCAACATTATTGTGTGATTTTTCTTCTTTAAAGACTGGTTCCAAAATGAAACACACACGTCTTAGGATCAATACGCACACATCTAGCGACAAAGGAGAGCCAATATCATACACAGACACTGGAGAATTATATATACAGTCATTCTCAATGCAAGAAATTTACACAAACAAAACAAATTATAACCGTCAGAGTCAATAAAGGCTGACTGCTAGCCAGAATTCACAAAAAATTTTCATATCAAAACGATATTTTAATTAGTCTCAAAATACATAATGCTTGGCCAGGGACAAGCATCTAGAATGTCAGAATTTCAATCAATTTAGGATTTCACAATCAGTTACAACAAGTTAAAACTGTTGAAATCCATGCTTATTATGTCATCAATCTACTATCTGTAATAATGAATGCATTCACAAATCAGTGAAGATACGAGTAATCAACAGCCACTGAGGACAGTAACTGGAGGTTTTACACTAGGGCAGCTTATAGAAATCCCTATCATGGATTTCAAGATATGGATGATATTACAACAAAACAGAAACAGTTGAAAGCAGTACAGACTCCATTACCTCTATCCAGACTTTTTACATTCTTTTTTTCACCATTAGGACTACCCACAAGAAAGGCTTGAAAACATTTCAAACTTCTAACACATCAATCAAACACATAAGGAATATGAATATTCAAGAGGTCAGATTGGTGACAAACATCTTTTAGCACTTTTCCTAAAGAAAGCATTTTGATTAAATATGAATCTGCTAATTAGAGTTTCCCCATGTTAATTATATTGTAATAGATAATTATTGTGGATGCATGAACTTATAATTATCCAAAATTAAGTATGTTTACAGTACCGTGTCGCATATCTATGTTCTTGAGGTCAGAAGTCAGACATTCACACATCACCTTATTGAATATCTTTGTTTTTAAAGTTGGAGGTTACACAATAATATCTTACCTTAGGGAATATTTGGGTGAGTGTCCTCACAACGAGCTGTAACATTTTGGCTGGATTAGGCTGACCTTTGGCCACAGCAGCCAAAGTCTCTTCCATATCTTCTGAAGTTACTGAAGCCAACATCAAGTCTGAATCTGATGCCTTGAGAGTGGCATTCTTACGGAAACTTGACAAGTCCTTACTAGTCTTATCAAATGGCTTTTCAGAATAATTGGACGCCATGATTTTGTTGTCCACCTGTGATGATGCAATGATAGACTTTCCTAATTGTTTTCTACGTCGTATTTTGTGGGTTTCTGTCAGTGTCGACATGAGGCTCTCCATATCAAATTTCGATGCTCCCTCATCAGCATCTGTCCTCTGAGCCATAGATTCTTGGAACCAATTCATTTTTCTTGCTATTTTGGGTGCAGGTTTGGGAGGGGCCTGTCAGAGGATAAATATGGGTAGTATTAGATTTTTTCCTGTCTCAGTAAGTACACACATATCTCAGCTGGAAATCTTGCATGTGCTTCATCTTTTATTACCAAAACGTTTCATTTCATAAGCAGAAGAAGATTACTAGATGCCAACAAAACACATTCAACAACTGATACCATTTCATATAAATCCTCATCATAATCACCAATACTGTCATTTATAAACAGCCTTTATATAAACAGCTGAAATCAAATACAATCCATTCCAGCTCTAGTTTTGTGATTTGATGTCAATCAAATGCTGACTGTTTTAACCCCAGAATAAACCACTATTTTCATTAATATTCACACAGATTAAGGGATGACAGCAGATCATGTTGCTTTACAAAGAAAATTTCTTAACCCTAAATGTATCAATACCTTTGGAGGGATGTGATTTTTAAAAACTGCGTCTTGAAGTAGGTCACTTGCTGAAGGTCGTTGATCACTTTCCTTCTTAAGCATCTTCTCCATCACTGTAATCAATTCTGGACTGTACTTGTCACTGGGCATCGGAGGTAACTGTGGATTTATCAAAAAAAGAAAGGTAGCTGTGTGATTATCAAAACAAGGAAGATAACTGTGGATTTATCAAAACAAGGGAGGTAACTGTGGATTAATCAAAACAAGGAAGGTAATTGTGGATTTATCAAAACAAGGGAGGTAATTGTGGATTTATCAAAACAAGGGAGGTAACTGTGGATTGATCAAAACAAGGAAGATAACTGTGGATTAATCAAAACAAGGAAGGTTATTGTGGATTTATCAAAACAAGGGAGGTAACAGTGGATTAATCAAAACAAGGATGATAACTGTGGACTAATCAAAACAAGGAAGGTTATTGTGGATTTATCAAAACAAGGGAGGTAACTGTGGATTAATCAAAACAAGGAAGGTAATTTTGGATTTATCAAAACAAGGGAGGTAACTGTGGATTGATCAAAACAAGAGAAGTACAAATATAACTGTAGATTGATATCAATCAAGGGAGGTAACTGTGGATTTATCAAAACAAGGGAGGTACCTGTGGATTTATCAAAACAAGGGAGGTAACTGTGGATTTATCTAAACAAGGGAGTGAACTGAACTTATTAAAACAAGGGAGGCAACTGGATTTATTTAAGATAATTGTGACTGATACAACAAGGTTACTAAATCAAAGGAGGTAACTGTGAAAGTATAACACAAGGGAGGTAACTGTGAAAGTATAACACAAGGGAGGTAACTGTAAAAGTATAACACAATGGAGGTAACTGTGAAAGTATAACGCATTGGAGGTAACTGTAAAAGTATAATGCATTGGAGGTAACTGTAGCAGTATAACACAAGGGAGGTGACTGTGAAAGTATAACACAAGGGAGGTAACTGTAAAAGTATAACACAAGGGGAGTAACTGTAAAAGTATAACACAAGGGAAATAACTGTGAAAGTATAACACAAGGAGAGTAACTGTGAAAGTATAACGCATTGGAGGTAACTGTGAAAGTATAACACAAGGGAGGTTACTGTGAAAGTATAACACAAGGGAGGTAACTGTGAAAGTATAACACAATGGAGGTAACTGTAAGGTAGCAGTAAACAGTTAATTTGCATTTTTCCTGAAATTATTTGTCATGTTTGAGATATACAGGTGTAGCAGATTGGTTATGAAAAATACATCATTACATGTATATATATTTATAAACTGCATAACAATTACTTTAACAGTAGAGAGATGAAATTTGTGTAAAAAAAAAATTTCTTCTGATTTCTGACATTTGATTGTTATGGTTACCTACTGAAAAAAATGCTAAAAATGCAGAAATACTGCTAATTCCAACCCAACACTACAACTTTCTAGGAGAAACACCTATCTTACAATCAACAACACTGTCATGGTAACAAAGTACTTGCATTTCAGCAAATTCCAACTCGGAAATTCTTCATAACATGACCACATGTAAACATTATGAAAATTTCACTTCCTGTAAAGCTAGTTTTTGGTCTGCAGACACAGATTCGAGACTGCCCAAATAGTAATCTCCAACACAAATCTAAAATATTATCCTGAAAAAAATGAAACCCTACATCTAATGAGCAAAAAAAATCACCCATGGCCACACCGAGAAACTGTGTACTGCTACCTAAAAGTATAACACAAGGGAGGTAACTGTGAAAGTGTAACGCATTGGAGGTAACTGTGAAAGTATAACACAAGGGAGGTTACTGTGAAAGTATAACACAAGGGAGGTAACTGTGAAAGTATAACGCAATGGAGGTAACTGTGAAAGTATAACACAAGGGAGGTAACTGTGAAAGTATAACGCAATGGAGGTAACTGTAAAAGTATAACACAAGGGAGGTAACTGTAAAAGTATAACACAAGGGAGGTAACTGTGAAAATATAACGCAATGGCGGTAACTGTAAAAGTATAACACAAGGGAGGTAACTGTGAAAGTATAACACAAGGGAGGTAACTGTGAAAGTATAACACAAGGGAGGTAACTGTGAAAGTTTAATACAAGGGAGGTAACTGTGAAAGTATAACACAAGGGAGGTAACTGTGAAAGTATAACACAAGGGAGGTAACTGTGAAAGTATAACACAAGGGAGGTAACTTTGAAAGTTTAACACAAGGGAGGTAGCTGTGAAAGTATAGCACAAGGGAGGTAACTGATTACTGTGAATTTCAGTCAGTGTAGTTAAAATGGATTCATCGAAAATGTTTAAATTAAATCATAATTCCATTACCATACTCATACATCTTAGGATGGGCAATCTTGACGAAGTGAATCATGTGACCTATTTATCGGACAGTATAGTTTATTAGCTGTTAAACTTACCTGCCCATGAACAATCTTAAAGACAAGCTGTTGCATCAACATGGCATCAAATGGTCGCTCTAGAGTCGCCATCTCATATACACACACACCCAGGGCCCAGATATCACTCTATCAGGTAGAACATACAATATGATATTAAAGATATCAATTCACCTTCATATAAAACATTTATGTGTTAAAGATATTTCTAATATTCTGCCAGTGGCTATATCAATAGAATGAGGCTCATTCTAATCTTAAAATAACCACAGAACACCAATCAAATCTGACTTCAGTCAAACAAGGAAACAATTATTGACAATGGAACATGCTTATTGCATATGAAGGAGATTCTATCTCAGATATATATCATTGTATGAAAATATATATATAAACATATATATATATATAGGAAGATTACATAATAACCTGTTTAAATAAAACATTTCTGAGAAGTCTCAATTTTACTTCATTACAATAAAGCCTTTCATTTCTATGAGGAATAAGGTGAAATCCTAGGGATAGGATCCCAAGACAAGATTGAGAAACTCAAAAGAACAAAGGGGAATAACTCTTCCAAAAGATGTCAAGGTATATGATCTAATGACAAACCATACCAGGCCCTAAATATCTTCAACCTTAAGGTCGCATCAAAATGCTGAAAAAATACTCCAACAATTGATGTCAATATACCGTTCAGAAAATCACATGTCATACTCAACCTACCCAGTCAGAATGACATCAGTTGAAAACTGATCTCCAAACATAATTAATTAAGATTATGAAAAAGGATGGAGAAGTCACCCTTGTGAAAGCATTGGAATGAAAATGCTGTTCAGAAAAACACTACTTAATGTTATTGTGATTAAATTGAAAACTGGTGGTTAGAGATTTAGAAATAAAACTGACAACAGACAGTGTGATTTCAGAATGGTGGATGAAATGAAATTTAGTTCAACTGATGACATGACATTTTTGTTAAGGCAGCAAATACCAACAACAATTTACCTTAGCATCGTAAGGCTTACAGGCAAACAGTTCTGGGCTCATGTAATACGGACTGCCACAGAAAGTCACAGCCTTCGCATTAGGTCGCTCCAACACTCTGTAAGGCAATTTTTAAATTAAAATAAATGGAAAATGAAGTGAAACGATGAATACGTTTTGAAAAAGTTCAGTATTTACATCTGTCCAACAGATGGACACAAAGACAATATATATCTAAATGATCAGGAATGATGGTATGACTTACTTTGCTAGTCCAAGGTCACCTAGTTTGGCTATCTTACTGGTGCCTGTGAGGAAAACATTCTGGGTTTTCATGTCTCTGTGGATAATTTTTCTGCCATGTAGATACTGTAACAAAAAATATCCTTTTTAACTACAAGTAGGATTTATTTCACAAAATATGTAATGGGAAATCTTGAATCTGACATCTGCAGATAAGTGCAGAGTGATTTATAAAGATAGTTCAAGTATTTATCAAACAAGTCATTACCGATAGTGCACAGCTGATTTCACGAAACCATTCCACGATCCTGTTTTCTGGTAGTGGTTTGCCCTTTCTGCCCTCCAGAAATTGACTCAAGTCTCCACCATCACAGAACTCAGTCACAATGCACAGAGCTCCATTCTCTTCAAATGACTCTACGTAGCGCAGGATGTTCTCGTGGTTAAAATCAGAGAGGAGACGAGCTTCCTTCAGGGCCAACTCCCGCTCCTCCTCTGGGGACTTGGACAAGTTAATCACTTTCATGGCATACTGAAGTGGAAACTTATTGTAATGAAAATCTGTCTTGTATTTGTAATCTAAGAAATAGCATTAAGTCACAACCTGTCAATCAACTGTATCAAACAATGTATGTTCATCAGGTGTCAAAAACAAAACAACTGAGCACACTGAGTTTTCAGAGATACCTAGATGCCTAGATACCATCCAGCATGCAAAGTGATTACATAATAGGAAATTACTCAGTATAGGAGCCAATCACAACAAGCTATAGGTAAGTAGAATTTTATCTATCTAGGAAACATCTACCAGTTCTCAGAGACATACAGAGAAAAGACAAAGAAGAGACTGAGGGACTGGTTCCAGGTATGATGACTCCCAAGTTCTGTTACCTTATTGGAAAAGATGTAAACATTCATAGAATTGGTCCAATATACCTAAACAGCCATTCAATGTTTTCTTAAAAAATTAACATTCTTAACCATTAGTATCATACTTGCTCCATTCTAACATCATCTGAATGTTTGCTTCAGGTGATAGTCTCGCATATAAAAGGACTGGAGGAAAGAGTCTAAATGATGTTGATCCAACTGCAGTTGTAGTCATATATATAACTTCATCATGAACTGCAGTGAATGAAAATGTATGATGAAAAAGGTGATTGAAACAGGTCACTTCGAGACTTTCTTTCCAGTGACCTTAAAATCTCTTTTGATGAGAGAAAAAAAAATCATATCCTCTTCCATATGGAAGATTAGCCGTTGGCTGAATATGTAATCCTCAGAAAATAAAGTTTATTATCATTATTATTATATTATTATCTTCCAATTATCAGGAATAAACACATTTAAGATGTAATAATCAACATATCTCATTTGTACTAACGTAATAAAGTAACAATGTTATTATATCTATAATGTTATTATCAAATTAAATATAATGAGTTACAGAAAAAACATGTCCAGTGTGGGACCAGACTCTCTGACATGATCTACATCTGTGTCGACAGACGAGGCTGATACCAGGGTCTACATCTGTATTGACAGACGAGGATGATAGTGGAGTTTACATCTGTATTGACAGACGAGGATGATAGTGGAGTTTACATCTGTATTGACAGACGAGGATGATAGTGGAGTTTACATCTGTATTGACAGACGAGGATGATACCAGGGTTTACATCTGTATTGACAGACGAGGCTGATACCTGGGTTTATACTGTATTGACAGATAAGGCTGACACTGGGGTTTACATCTGTATTGACAGACGAGGATGATACCAGGGTTTACATCTATATTGACAGACGAGGATGATACCAGGGTTTACATCTGTATTGACAGATGAGGTTGATACCAGGGTTACATCTGTATTGACAGACGAGGATGATACCAGGGTCTACATCTGTATTGACAGACGAGGCTGATACCAGGGTTACATCTGTATTGACAGACGAGGATGATAGTGGAGTTTACATCTATATTGACAGACGAGGATGATACCAGGGTTTACATCTGTATTGACAGACGAGGCTGATACCAGGGTCTACATCTGTATTGACAGACGAGGCTGATACTTGGGTTTACATCTGTATTGACAGACGAGGCTGATAGTGGAGTTTACATCTATATTGACAGACGAGGATGATACCAGGGTTTACATCTGTATTGACAGACGAGGCTGATACCAGGGTTTACATCTGTATTGACAGACGAGGCTGATACTTGGGTTTACATCTATATTGACAGACGAGAATGATACCAGGGTTTACATTTGTATTGACAGACGAGGCTGATACCAGGGTTTACATCTATATTGACAGACGAGGCTGATACCTGGGTTTACATCGGTATTGACAGGCAAGGATGATACCAGGGTTTACATCTGTATTGACAGATGAGGCTGATACCAGGGTCTACATCTGTATTGACAGACGAGGCTGATACCAGGGTCTACATCTGTATTGACAGGCGAGGATGATACCAGGGTTTACATCTGTATTGACAGACGAGGCTGATACCAGGGTTTACATCTATATTGACAGACGAGGCTGATACCTGGGTTTACATCGGTATTGACAGACGAGGCTGATACCAGGGTTTACATCGGTATTGACAGACGAGGCTGATAGTTGAGTTTACATCTATATTGACAGACGAGGCTGATACCATTGTTTACATCTATATTGACAGACGAGGCTGATACCTGGGTTTACATATGTATTGGCAGACGAGGTTGATACCAGGGTCTACATCTATATTGACAGACGAGGCTGATACCTGGGTTTAAATCTGTATTGACAGACGAGGCTGATACCTGGGTTTACATATGTATTGACAGACGAGGCTGATACCAGGGTTTACATCTGTGTTGACAGACGAGGATGATACCAGGGTTTACATCTGTATTGACAGACGAGGCTGATACCAGGGTTTACATCTGTATTGACAGACGAGGCTGATACCAGGGTTTACATCTGTATCAACAGACAAGGCAGATAGTGGGGTTTACATATGTATTGACAGACGAGGCTGACACCGAGGTTTACATCTGTATTGACAGACGAGGCTGATACCAGTGTTTACATCTGTATTGACAGACGAGGCTGACACTGGTGTTTACATCTGTATTGACAGACGAGGTTGATACCAGTGTTTACATCTGTATTGACAGACGAGGTTGATACCAGTGTTTACATCTGTATTGACAGACGAGGTTGATACCAGTGTTTAAATCGGTATTGACAGACGAGGTTGATACCAGGGTTTACATCGGTATTGACAGACGAGGCTGATACCAGTGTTTACATCTGTATTGACAGACGAGGCTGATACCAGTGTTTACATCTGTATTGACAGACGAGGATATTGACAGACGAGGCTGACACTGAGGTTTACATCTGTATTGACAGATGAGGTTGATACCAGGGTTTACATCTGTATTGACAGACGAGGATGATACCAGGGTTTACATCTGTATTGACAGACGAGGCTGATACCAGGGTTTACATTTGTATTGACAGATGAGGTTGATACCTGGGTTTACATCTGTATTGACAGACGAGGTTGATACCAGGGTTTACATCTGTATTGACAGACGAGGCTGATACCATTGTTTACATCTATATTGACAGACGAGGCTGATACCAGTGTTTACATCTGTATTGACAGACGAGGCTGACACTGAGGTTTACATCTGTATTGACAGGCAGGCCAGGGTTTAGGTTTACATCTGTATACAGACGAGGGATTTTTACATCTGTATTGACAGACGAGGCTGATACCAGACAGACGAGGCTGATACTTGAGGTTTACATCTGTATTGACAGACGAGGCTGATACCAGTGTTTACATCTGTATTGACAGACGAGGCTGAGGTTTACATCTGTATTGACAGATGAGGTTGACCATTGTGTTTACATCTGTATTGACAGACGAGGTTGATACCAGTGTTTACATCTGTATTGACAGACGAGGCTGATACCAGTGTTTACATCTGTATTGACAGACGAGGCTGATACCAGTGTTTACATCTGTATTGACAGACGAGGCTGACACTGAGGTTTACATCTGTATTGACAGTGTTTACATCGGTATTGACAGACGAGGCTGACCAGGGTTTACATCTGTATTGACAGACGAGGCTGATACCAGGGTCTACATCTGTATTGACAGACGAGGCTGATACCAGTGTTTACATCTGTATTGACAGACGAGGCTGACACTGGTGTTTACATCTGTATTGACAGACGAGGTTGACACTGAGGTTACCAGTACATCTGTATTGACAGACGATACCAGGGTTTACATTTGGCAGACGATTTACATCTGATACCTGGGTTTACATTTGTATTGACAGACGAGGTTGATACCTGGGTTTACATCTGTATTGACAGACGAGGTTGATACCAGGGTTTACATCTGTATTGACAGACGAGGTTGATACCAGTGTTTACATCTGTATTGACAGACGAGGATGATACCAGTGTTTACATCTATATTGACAGACGAGGATGATACCAGTGTTTACATCTGTATTGACAGACGAGGTTGATACCAGTGTTTAAATCGGTATTGACAGACGAGGTTGATACCAGGGTTTACATCGGTATTGACAGACGAGGCTGATACCAGTGTTTACATCTGTATTGACAGACGAGGCTGACACTGAGGTTTACATCTGTATTGACAGATGAGGTTGATACCAGGGTTTACATCTGTATTGACAGACGAGGCTGATACCAGGGTTTACATCTGTATTGACAGACAAGGCTGATACCAGTGTTTACATCTGTATTGACAGACGAGGCTGATACCAGGGTTTACATCTGTATTGACAGACGAGGCTGACACTGAGGTTTACATCTGTACTGACAGACGAGGCTGATACCAGGGTTTACATCTGTATTGACAGACGAGGTTGATACCTGGGTTTACATCTGTATTGACAGACGAGGTTGATACCAGGGTTTACATCTGTATTGACAGACGAGGATGATACCAGTGTTTACATCTATATTGACAGACGAGGATGATACCAGTGTTTACATCTATATTGACAGACGAGGATGATACCAGTGTTTACATCTGTATTGACAGACGAGGATGATACCAGTGTTTACATCTGTATTGACAGACGAGGATGATACCAGTGTTTACATCTGTATTGACAGACGAGGCTGACACGGAGGTTTACATCTGTATTGACAGACGAGGATGATACCAGTGTTTACATCTGTATTGACAGACGAGGATGATACCAGTGTTTACATCTGTATTGACAGACGAGGCTGACACGGAGGTTTACATCTGTATTGACAGACGAGGCTGACACGGAGGTTTACATCTGTATTGACAGACGAGGCTGACACGGAGGTTTACATCTGTATTGACAGATGAGGCTGATACCAGGGTTTACATCTGTATTGACAGACGAGGCTGATACCAGTGTTTACATCTGTATTGACAGACGAGGATGATACCAGTGTTTACATCTGTATTGACAGACGAGGCTGACACGGAGGTTTACATCTGTATTGACAGACGAGGCTGATACCAGGGTTTACATCTGTATTGACAGACGAGGATGATACCAGTGTTTACATCTGTATTGACAGACGAGGATGATACCAGTGTTTACATCTGTATTGACAGACGAGGCTGACACGGAGGTTTACATCTGTATTGACAGACGAGGATGATACCAGTGTTTACATCTGTATTGACAGACGAGGCTGACACGGAGGTTTACATCTGTATTGACAGACGAGGCTGACACGGAGGTTTACATTTTCTGGGTAACCAGCTAATGCTTTTATTTATTACAAACATTTGACTGATACAATTACATGAAAACAATACAAATATACAAGTACACAATGAACACTTCAGTTGTATGACGCCAAACGGACATTTATTTGGAATAAGTTACCCTACTGACCCAGAGATCAAATAATGTGTCACGGACACACGGTACAAACATGGTTGTCATTTACCTGATTTGTCGGGTTGGTCTTGTCAGTTACCAAATACACCTTACCAAAGGCACCCTCTCCAAGGGTCCTCACCATATCAAAGTCGATATCCGAGTGCGAACTCGCCATAACTGTTTTTATGTTCAGAAGTGAACAGAAACTAGCATCGCCGTGAAATTCTGCTTTCGGTTTGAAAAGAGGCTTGACCTCCCCACAGACATGTTTTGGACAATTTACTTCCGGGTTGGTATTTCTCGGAAGAGATAATTTTTAGCGCGAACATTTGAATGTCGTATAGTTAGACATTTTAAATCGTTATAGTTCATCTCATTTAATGTGCTACTTGTATTAACAAATTTTGAAATGGTAATTAGTAATATTAACAAATTTAAAAATTAATTAGACAAACACTATAAAAATCAAGAACTGTTCTTTAATTACAGAGCTGAAATCACATAATTTCCAATTTGTATAGATAATGATATAAATAACATTTCTCCAGGCAAAAAGACGAAGTACAGTTCAAGATAAAACGTACCTACAATGTACACGTATAGTTACAAAGTGATTACATATATACATTTATATTATAAGATACAAGATAGTAGTGTTACTGTACTTGTGCCTATAGTTGTCGCTTTGCCTAGGATAACCCATCAAATATATCAAAGCTTATTTCCAATGGGGTCTCTAAAATCATACTGGGTTGTGAGCTGACTAATTAAGTTCTAAAAATGTATTTTTACCCTAGGACAGACATGGGTTGCCTCCACAACAGTGTATGAGTGACTGAGTGTAACGACCAAATGGGAGCAATGTTGTGTGGTATTTCTAATAGAACACAAATTCATTTTCAAATTCTTCTTTAGATATTTGAATAAAATGTTTTTTAATTTCTCTTTTGAATTTGGGTTTGTTATTTTCAAACTTGATGCTGTTTGGTAATTTATTCCATTATTAGGATGCACTGTAGAAAAACATGTGCACGTGTACAGGATGTACATTTGTAAGAGGTCTATGTAAAATGACTGTAATATTTTCAATATTTCAATATTTCAGTGTATAATGTATTTTTTGAGTCTGGTATAGAGGACTTGCATATAAGTCCTGAACCGGAAATAAACTTATCGCTATTATTGGAATTATAACTCGAAAGGTCATAGGTCATACCAAATCACATAGTAGGCATACGACATGTAGGATTTGAACAAAGTTTTGGTGAACAAAGACTTAAGACTGGCGAGGACTAAAATTGGCCAAGTGATAATTTTTTGCGAGAATAATAAACTGAATTTTCATCAACACACATGGCTATAAGTGACTTCATTCACATACGGACTTGAGTCTTTATATTGTTACTTTTTTTTTTTATAATAACGTGATCCCATCGCTACCACCAGTGTAACGTTTCTTTTAACTCTAAATTACTGCTTAGAATACCAGTGTGATATTCTTCAAATTTCCACCGCTGACACGTGTAATGATCTTTAACTTCAAATAATTGCAACCTGTGCTATCAGTGTTCCAATTTCTCCCCATAGATTAACATTTTTAATACCAATCGCTGGTAGATATATCTACTAGGAAAGCTTTCCACTGCCAACAGTTCCAATATAAAAGGAACAAGCAATGTAGATAGATTACACTTTATTTACAACATAAATCACAATTGTATCCAAAAAATCACATCCAAACATTCAGCTTCTTGGTCTCCCATATCTCTATAGTAACTAGCCTAATTATCAACACTTGTATAACAAGTTAATGTCAGACACTACAAAACTACACATAACCTACAATAAATGTATCCACTAGACTACAATTCAACGCATATCTTATCCTCACGGTGCTCCGGTCTCTACACCAACCCGCTCTCACTGAACTCTATAGTCGATCTCCCTCCTTTTCTTCACTCCTTCTACACTAATATTGTCCCAAATCCCTCCTAATCCACTGCACGCTACCCACAATGCCCTCAAACTTTGACCCCGGGGTTAGTATTGTCGGAGAGCGTCAACATCTTATTCCATCACAGTCTACACTTGGCCCTCCCAGAGTAGAGACGGTCACTCTATGTCTAATTGACACCGTAAACATGTATACCATTGGTAAATGCAACATGTTAGTATTTAAAAAAAGAGCGCTAATCCCCGAATCTGATCTGATACTTTGTAATTTTATCCACAATTTTTCTTAACCTTTACTAATTAAAGATGCTCTTTAGTTCTCGCCCTTTTAAGTTCGTAAGCACGAACCTGAAGGCTATCGTATTAGTCATATGTAACACGGTCCCTTTGATCGATCTCTCTGTCTCTCTCTCTCTGTCTCTCTCTGTCTCTCTCTCTCTGTCTCTCTCTCTCTCACACATACACACCACACACACACACACACACACACACACACAGCACCCCTCACACACACACACACACACACACACACACACACACACACCCTCACGCACGCACACACACACACCCTCACATCTGTTAAGCTGCATGTTGAATACAAACACCGAAAAATGAATAACTTAGTAATACCCAAGCTTTAAGTAAAAAATGATATCTAAACCATATCAATCTGTTCTGCCCCCTCCCCCCCCCTAAAAATATAAATAAACACCCTCTCACCCATCCATGCAAAATCACACCCACACACAACAACAACGCATTAGTAGGTAGTTTTGGCCATGTATGCCTTTTTCAGGACTTTATTGTTGTGGAAGGTAGTTCGATCCATGTGTTGATGTTGAAGATGAGTAATGTTCCCTCCAATCCTGGTCGTTGTCATATGTTGGTGGAAGAATCGGCGGATACTTCTCTCGGTAACCTGGGCCCACAACGACTGTAAAAAGAGTTTTTCGTAAGCACATTTCTTGTTTAATATATCCTATTAGTAACACATGTGTATGGTCACTGATGACGTAATGTTAACAATAACATTTAATATTATAAATAAATCTGATATTCTATGCAGTTGTGTCCCTTGTGAACGTGATGCAACTGATCAACATTTTACCATAATTCAAATTATAGAGTTATCGTACTATCGCATGAAACGTAATGTCTATCTAATGTTTAAATTTTCAATCAAGTTGGACGCAATGAAACTACCAAATTGTTACTTGACTTAGTTCTGAATGTCATGGATACACTAGAAGGGTTCCAATACACTCCAGGGACAAGTTAAAAATAGCTACTGCCCCGTCCGAAGCGAAATAGACAGCCTCAGAACATACACAGACATCACTCTTGCGTGTAGTTGTCTATTTATAAGATACATTGACAAATTAAGTATCACGATTTAAGTTTGTTGTTTATCCTTTTTTAACAGTAGTAACAGTAGATTTGTTCAGAATATTGAAAAAATCCCGGTTTAAGAGAACTATTAGCATCGAATCTTGCTTTGGTCGTTTTCATGGGGCAATAATTGAATTGTTCTCGAGACTTTTTCAGCGTTATCTTTTGCCCAAACAGCAAGTATTCTGACTAATACCTGAACAATTTGTAGAGTATAGGAAGCTCCGTATACACTAAAATTTATTCCATCTCCTGTCGTCTGTCTCTCTATGACTCCCAAAAGCCGTGATTTACCACAGCAGAATAAAATGAGTTAAAGAGGACAATGTAAAACTGTTAAACAGTGGTATTTAGACAAAAAAATGCAGTCTTCTTAAACCAAGATCCGTACACATTTTTCAAAGCGATTCCGTGAAAGGTAAGCTTAGAAAATTTACTGAGAGGTAGACGGCCTAGAAATCGTCTGAAAGGTCTGATTATAGGATCATTGGAATTGGTCAAAACAATAGAATGGGACTTTAACTGATATGACTACACTTTTTGATACTGAAACAATAGTTAGTTTGTCATCAAAAACTGTTAGAAGAAGATTTTTTGGGAGATGTTTCAAAGAAAATTACCATTGGAGCTGTTATCGTTTTTGTTAGACAAACCTTTGTTGGACAGTTGCAAATAATTGGTCAGATATCATATCTAGTGAGGAAACCAAAATGGAAATCGGCACTGACAAAAAAGTGTATGCATGGAGGAAAAACAGTTAGTGGTTAAATCCCAGCTGTGTTGGATTGTGCGCAACAATGCTCGAAATGTGCGTTTCTTGGTTGTGTTTTAGGGAAGCATTTCTTATTTTGGCGTCGGATCACGTACAATCTGTTGATGGAAACATAAACACTGAAAAGAATATTTCTATTCTGGATAAAAATTCATGGCCTGTTGTTGCGAGATATCTTGCAAATACACTCAGTGTCATGTTTCGAGGAAAGTTAAGGAAGTGAAAATTGTAAAAATATCATAACTCTACCTTGGACATCCAAAAGTCGAGATCTTAATGTGATTGAACATGTGTGAGAAACGTTTGGGAGAGGTACAAAACAGAGCAGTTGTTATTAGAGTTGTAAATGACTTGTGGTCAAAAACAAAAAAGAAAATACCAACATTGCAATATTATCATAATCAAAACTTATATACCATCAAACTAAAACAACTTAAAGAAAAAAAGATTTACACGGAGACTACTGAATAAGTACAAGGAGAATAAGACCATGTGTTCCGGAAGAGTAAGCGTCTTCTGTTACATCGGCGACACTCGCCATGTAAACCTTGGTCAATCCAAGTAAGTAATGTCACGTTCTCAAATGAGAGCAAGGTACACAACAACGAAACCAACAGGCAAACTAACGAGTATTAAACACGCCCAGCTTTATATCGCACAAAGAAATAGAATATTTCTCAATGACATCGCCATGGCGACCATAAAACTTACTCATAAGTTTCATTAAGCTGCATCTTTTGAGCCCCTGTGTTACAAGTTTTCCCGTCAGTTTAATGGGAACAGGTCCCTGATCATCGAATCAACTGTCACATGTAAATACCATAGGTTGGAAATACAGGTATATTCTTATCCAAAAATGGGAAATTTACAATAATGAAATTGCAATCATCATGTTTATCATACAGCTTGGTAGAAAACTGTTCAATTTGGTTTCGTTGTAGGAAAAGATCGAGATAAGCAGCTCATGTGGAAGAATCTGTCTTGTTTTTTTTATTCATATTCGTGTGCTACATTCGGAATCTATACAATTACCTGGCAATCGTATAACGCAGTGTAATTTGGGCAAGGGGACAGGTCACAAAGTATTGAAAATTTCTTCTAATTATATTTTTCTTCATTGAGATATTCCACTTTTAAATGCCCCTTCCCTCAGCTGAAACAACAATGACATCGCCAAAATGTGCCAATACTTATTTACCTCATGGAATCGACCAAAGCAAGATTCAATGCTCAAATGATAAATGTATATTTAAAACATTAATTTTACCAACCCTACCATATGAGATAGACGACGCTTGTTTCGTATCATCAGAAATATCAGGCTTGATGACTGTTTTTCCTCGGCTCCACTTCTTTACTGAGGAAACGATACAATAGGAGATGAAGGCGACGACCAACACCACAGCCAATACAATCATGATGAACGCAGCAGGACTGTAAACATGTCAACAATCGCAAGTAAATAAACAAGGCGATAATCAGAGATAAACATTACATAACGATTAGCTGTGGTATATAGTATTTCTTTCACCCAAGTAATTTATTGACACATATCCAAATTATTGACACATATCTAAGTTATTGACACATATCCAAGTTAGTGACACATATCCAAGTTGTTGACACATATCCAAGTTAGTGACACATATACAAGTTATTGACACATATACAAGTTGTTGACACATATACAAGTTGTTGACACATATACAAGTTGTTGACACATATCCAAGTTATTGGCACATATCCAAGTTGTTGACACATATACAAGTTATTGACACATATACAAGTTGTTGACACATATACAAGTTGTTGACACATATCCAAGTTATTGGCACATATCCAAGTTGTTGACACATATCCAAGTTATTGATACATATACAAGTTATTGACACATATACAAGTTGTTGACACATATCCAAGTTATTGATACATATCCAAGTTAGTGACACATATACAAGTTAGAAGAAAAATGGACAGAAGAACCCAATTTATTGAAAATTCAACAATATACTTTAATCTCTGCACTTAATCCCGTTCAGCACTATCTCCATATTCTTGTTCGTTTATTATTAATCATAGACGTAATTAAGAACAAAACGAAATTAAAAATAAAATTTAAAATAAACTTTTAATTCAACCTCAAATTCGATGAAACGGGGCAAAATATCAACAAAAGATTTTCATGGAGACTTCTGAAAACGTACTTGGAGAATGAGTCCACCATGACCTTAGTCCCTATCTAAATGGCATCAGTAGCCTTTCTGTCGTAAAGTGATTTCTTGTTTGCTATACTGAACTGCAAGCATATGGTTAATTACTAAAACGACATTTTTCAACACAGGAAACTTTAAGCAAGTGATGGTTATCAAGTAAGGTGCTCAGAAATGCGTCAACAAACAACCAATTTCTTACTTAATTGCTAATTTCTAAACAAACGTAGAATATTCTGATAGGAATGAGTTACTCACTGGAATGGACAGCAGGAAACATTGTTATTCCAGTGTTCACCACAACATCCAGTATCACATTCCTTGACCCCGTCAGATGTCTGACAATACTCCTTTGCTGTTATGCCTGTAATTGTGGCGACATTTAGAACAAAAATAAATTCTACTTTATTTAAAAGTTGTAGGGTATGATAGAACAACATTTACAAGTATGTAAAATATGATAATATTGCTTGGGTTCTTGAAAAACAAAACAAAATCTGTTTGGAAACATACTAATACAGAGGTAACACAGAGGTAACATTCCCGTAACTCTTTATTTCCAACATATGAAATCAAATATTCTCTGTCATAGGTACCATGGTAACCCTGAGATGAGTCCGTAGATACAATGGTAGCCCCGAGATGAGTCCGTGGATACCACGGTAGCCCCGAGATGAGTCCGTTGATACCATAGTAACCCCGAGATGAGCCCGTAAATACCATGGTAACATCGAGATGAGTCCGTAGATACCAAGGTAGCCCCGAGATGAGTCCGTAGATACCATGGTAACTCCAAACCGATAAACACCAAGACCTTGCTGATGATACAGAGTTCAGACATCATTCCTTCATGTGCAAATAATATATTTGAAAATATTTTTTATCATCTCATAATAAATGCCACCTATATATTATTTATTGTGTGGTGAACATGATTGCGGTCCTGTAAGGTAGATAAACGATTTAATTTCTATTCAGTACAGGATTAAAATGTACTTACCTTGACAAAAATTGAAAACCAAAAGCAATAAAAATGATAAACTCCTTGCTTCACTATATATTTGATCCATGTTACTTATTATTTAAGATAGGTTATTGTTGATTCTGTGACATCGTATCCAGGCGGCCTTACGTCCGTTACGTGTATAGCATACTACTTACAATAACAGTCTGTGTGTAGAGGCAAGCCGTACGTATCTCAGGAACACATCAGTCATGCTCTTACGCCTGTAATTTTGTTTTAAAGTGAATAAAAAATCACCGGATCGATATTACGAAATTTAAAAACGTGAAATAATCAGAAATGAAATCTTCAAAAATCAATACAAAGTGTTAATGATATGTTTAACATTTACACATAGAACTTTCTAAAGGTGTTCAACTTAATATATGGTAATGAACATCTAGTTCTCCAATTGTAGTAGCCGTCTAGTTGTATACTTATAATATTCTTTAACATTTCATGTATGAAGCTGTTTTATTTTCAATATATGCAAACCATACATATATATCTATATCTGACAAAACAAAGAAGGCTGAAAAGTTAACAAAATTGTCAAAATCCATGCTTAATGTTTAGTATATATTTAGTGTAGCAGGATTTAGAATGGATTATTGTTTTGTCAATACAGGGTCCAAAGTAACAGGGAATGCAGCAATATCTATGATATGACTACAACCAGAATGTATGGTCAGAGAATGAAACACACACGGAATGTCTTTCAACTCCTGTAGCAGTAGAAAGTGTAAGCAAGTTTTCATTACATGTTGCATAATTATACGCTTATGTTCATCCATACAATCTGAATATCCTATTGCGAGGAGAGAAATCAGTCACACATGAAAACTATTATGTTGCCTTTTAATCTAGAAAAAATCCAGCAATTTAAACATCATATCACTGGTATTGAAACGTTGGCATGTTTTGAATACTTATTAGGTGATGCACTGTTATTTGTTTGACTGGTTTAAATGAAACCTATACTTATCTTAGTGCACGTATGGAGAAGCAAGTTAAAGATAACAAATATTGAACAAAATTCATTACATTTCCAGATTAAATAGACCGTGAATTTTATACATCACAAACTTGTTACCTGTATAAAATTCTGACAACAGGTATTCAAAGTAGGTAATCCAAATAGACTTTCTGGTCTAATGGAGAGGTAATGTCTAATACACTTTCAATACGGCTACAAGTGATATACATCGCCGGATGGCGCAATTCATAATGCAACATTTCCGGGGTCGCCTCGGACTGGTTACCTCACTGAACAGCATACGGGAGGCCCGTCGCTAGCCATCTAGGGCAACTGGGATAAAATTCTTGCCTAAGGACACGACCATGTCAGCACTGGTCGGTCCGTTTCTAGGTTTCCATCGAATATCGTATCTTTACCTTAGGTTACGTGGTCTAGAGCTCCAGCCGACAGCTGTCGTGGTATCCTAACACAACTAAACTAATGTTTTACCTGTTCAATCCATAAAATCATAGCAAGAAACAAACAATTTAATTTAACGGCGTTTGATTAAACTATTGAATAATCTTTTCATTTAAACATCAATTGTTTTGCTCCTTTCTAAAGACGTGTTAATATCAGTTCGGATAGACCATAACCAGTGACAGTATCTGTGAATAGTTGATGGTAATATATTTTGTATCGGTTTTATATTATAGTATATAACAATTTAAATTCACATGTAAAACTTTTTCATTAATGTTTGCCATACTCATCATTGGTACCAGATTTAAATACATACATAGTGTTTTGAATCAATAACATAAATGATGTGACAGACTGTTATCTCTAACCTTAATCCTACTGTGAATATTTTAACTTCTGGCCATTCCTTTCAATTCCTTTTGTTGTTATCAATTTCGTACTATCTTATATGCTGTAGTGATACAGTTTGTGAGATAACAACGACTCAATATAGTGTGAAAATTAATTACACGAATATAGATAATAACATAAGAAAATGATAGCCTTTTCTGATAACCTTTTTATTATCAACAATAGTATATAAGTCATGTAAAATCTTCTAACAAAAATATTGTTCAATATACATCTTGAAACGATAACATCACTTTATGTAGGAAACATTTGTCTTTAAATGTATATTATCAATAAGTTAATTGATATACTATAAAATCGTATGTACAACATGATTACACTTTGAAAACATGCGAAGTCATACACTCAATGAATAGAAAAACGCATTCATCATCAATTCATACAAAACAAAATAAAAGTGCATACAAAAACAATGGCACAAATGATATACACTATGAATCTCATATATAAATCTGTTACAATGGTTCAGTATTCTTACATTCTCTGTATACAGTCATACCTTTCTAAAAGGCTATCTGCATATAAAAATACCTGTTTATAAAGGACACTGGTTTTAAGTACTAATGTACTAATGTAATTCAAATCATAGTAATTAAAGGTTAATTTTGTCTGTTTCCCTTTTGTGTCTTTTATAAATGGGTTTATTTGAAATGCATCCATACAGACATAAGCATGAAAAGCTGCATCTCATCCTAATGGTCTGTGTATTAATTTGAGAAACTTGATTGTCTCGTTTGTTATTCATGTCCACTTTCAAATAAATAACAACAAGAAAATACCAACATTTCAACAAAGTCATAATCTAAACTCAAATTCAATAACAACAAGAAAATACCAACATGTCAACATAATCAAAATTCCTGCTCAAATTCCATAAAACTTGACTTTGGCAAAATACGAACAAATGAAAAGTTTACACGGAGACTCATGAAAAAGTAAAAGTAGAATAAGACCAGGTGTTCCGAAACGGTAATCATTTTTTTGCTGACGACACCCGCCATGAAAACCTTGGTCAAGTAGGTAATGTCGCGTTCTCAAACAAGGTTTACAAAAATGGAACCAATAGGAAAATAGTTCTCACGTCTTACCTTTCCTCAACGAGTCAATTTACACATCCACAAACCTGATGGTGACAGTAACTTCGCTCAATCAAGGGTGACTATATAAATTGAAATATTTAAAACCCTAATTCGGTATCAAACTATGTTGACAATCTAACAGCGAATTTGGACTTAGTTTTGACTGTAAATCGTTTAACGTAATGTTATTAAAGATTGAAACGATTATATAAAAATCACACACAAGTAAATAACACCTCTCTATTACCAACTTCGAAGTGAATACATTTATAAAGTATTACCAAATAATTAATTTAACTACATCATAAAGAAGACCTTTAGAATTCGACATTAATAATTTGTACTTTAAGCATTAATTTAAAGGAGACATCTGAGGATAATCGAAATTGGTCGAAACGAAATGCTAAAATATTGATCGGAAGGTGTCCTTATCCCAAAAAAAACACTCTAGTAGACGTGTATCTGTTACACCGTAAAAGACGGTAATCACAAAATTAATAACAAAAAAGCATAGCTATACTTATTGTTGAATAAGTAAGATGCAGATTTTGTCTTAATGTCCATGTTTAGTATTACATACATAACAAAACATGCAGATTAAGGTAAAGACCAAGGTATGAAAAGGATAGTCTGGTATACCATACAATACAACTATTCATAGATATTTACAATAGGGATAATTATAATATATGGTATACAGAACTGGTAAGTATATATACACTGGACTCTACTGAACTGCCCAGCATATACCAGGGCTAGTTTGCATTTTTCTGTCCCAGAGGAGATCGACTCGACGGTATAATATTTTCCGAATCTCATTTTCAAAGGACAGTCTAAATCTGTCAGCCTTCCAAAGATCTGTAAAAAGTCGTTTAGTTGTCCTTGCATCTTCACCGAAAGTCAGATATCATGGTATACGAAGGCTGATGATATCGTCAAGAAACTCGTGAACTCGTTATCAGTATTTCACAGCTTTTACCTCGTTCCTTTGTCTAAATGTCAAAGACTAGATTCTGTCGCCAATATTATGATTAATAATCTTCATATCAAGCCTAGAAACACTTCCTGTGGACGATCCCTGGTCCACTTTCATCGTACTCCTGTTTTGAGATCCACATCTGATGGAATGACGACAGAGATCCCAGGATAGATCCACCGATCCACACAGAATACTTTCTTTCCGGGGGTGCAATGACCTTTACCTTCACATTGCTAGGTACAATGCCGTCTAATTCTTTCTTAAATCGATCCGCCATGCCTGAAGTACAGAAAGGATTATCTTATACATCATGTCGACTATCAAAATAACCAGAAATGATTTGATGCAAATACGAACTCTTCAATTACTTTTTTTAATGAAATACCAAGAGGTCAAATACTAGAACGACCAAAATCAATTGATATCATTACGTATGTCAATAATTGATTTTTTCCAGTTGTATAAAAGTATTGTTTGTTTTGAGCAAGTATCAATTTTTATTTATATTCGCTTTTCTTTTAAGGAAAAGGACGTTTCAGCGTACCTGGAAACATAGTACTTCCGCCGGACATGACGATATTGCTGTAGAGATCCCGTCTGATGTCAATATCACAGCCCATGACTGAGTTGTGTACATGCTCGTGGACTCCGTTAGATTCCATTCCTGTAAGCAAATGACGATGGATTGTAGATATTTACTTGTGTATTCAAAATTGATTTAAGTAGCCCCTTTTCATTCAAACCATTGATACAAAACTATGTTATCAAACTATCTCTAACCTATAAATGATGGCTGGAAGAGAACCTCTGGGCACCGGAACCTTTCGTTACCAATGGTAACAACGCCACCGTCAGGAAGTTCGTAAGATTTCTCTACTGTAGAAGATTTCGAAGCTAATGTCATTTCACTCTCAAAGTCCAAAGCCACGTAGGACATCTTCTCCTTCATATCGCGAACAATTTCCATCTCAGCTGTAAAAGGAAAATCATTTCTGTGATATTTCGTTTCCTTGATGTCAATGACAGAATTACATTCTGACATCGATGCGCAGTAGTGTATTTTATTTGAGATTGTCATATATTTTCATCAATTTTCTAAAACAAGTTCCTTGAATGATTGACTTACATGAAGTGGTGAAATTATATCCTCTTTCGCGGAGGATCCTCTGGAGGTAGGCTGTGAGGTCACGACCTGCCAAGTCTACACGTTTGATGGCGTGAGGGAGGGCGTAACCCTCGTAGATAGGTACCACGTGTGACACACCATCCCCGGCATCAAACACGATGCCCGTTGTTCGTCCTGAGGCATACAGAGACAACACAGCCTGTATCGCCACATAGAAGGCAGGAGTGTTGAAAGTCTCGAACATGATCTGTTAAAGACAAGATATTGTGGATGTTTATACTTGAATACAAGCTAAATATCGTAAATTTAATTTAATAATTCAAATGTCAGACTGAAACGAAATTCTTTGTGTATTTTTTATGATAAATATAGTCATTTCCATACAAACCTGTGTCATCATTTCTCTATTTGCCTTTGGATTAAGTGGCGCCTCTGTCAACATGACCGGATGTTCCTCCGGAGCCACACGAAGCTCGTTATAGAAAGTGTGGTGCCAGATCTTCTCCATGTCGTCCCAGTTGGTGACGATTCCGTGTTCCACCGGGTACTTTAGAGATAGAATTCCACGTTTGTTCTGAGCCTCGTCTCCAACATAACATTCTTTGGCGCCCATACCGGCCATGACCACCTGTGAAAGAAAAAAGATTGGAATTTGTACAGACGACAAAATGACAATCATTGTCTGAATTACAACAAATTGCAATGTTGATCTGCTATATTATATTGACAAGTAATGATATGTACAAAGGTACGAAACGTGCTGTTAAATACTCACATCATAACGAGGTCGTCCTGTAATGGCGGGAAAAACTGCGCGTGGCGCATCGTCACCGGCAAATCCCGCTTTACACATTCCACTTCCGTTGTCAATGACAACAGCAGCAATATCTTCTTCAAATGTAGACATGATGACTAATACTTCAGTATTGCTTTTCTTTTTCCTACAATAGCCAATAGAGACGAATTCGTTCCAAGTGTTAATAACAGTATGTGAAGCGCTTTTAAGATGTTTGAAGAATCATTTGACTAAACTCTATCAATAAGTATATCATTTTCAAACCAGATTTCTCAAATAACTAAATAAAAATACGTACATAAACAGAAAGTCAAAAAGCTTTCAGTAAATTAATCAAATTACAGAAAAATAACGCCGAAGTTATAAACATTACCAGAATTCCGTGCGTTTTTCTGTTACATTTGCTTACATTCTGTTATAAACATCTATGATGTTGACAAGTTTCGAACTTGTTCATACGTTCAGATGTCGATAAACTATCATTCTGTGACAGTAAGTAAGAACAGGCCATAACGGAGACACCATGAATATGTTATACAAAAGTTACCTTGATATATCTTTATCTCAAATTTCCACTTAAAAATAGTTTGACGGTTGTTGCGAGTTTGCGTCTCAGTCGCCTGTAGACCTGGAGCTGTACTGTTGGCTTTCTCTTTGTCGGCTGCTGTGGTCGAGTCTGCATTCTCACGGTGTCACCATGTGTTATATAGCTATGTTTCGCTTCTTCTGAGAAATATGACATATTTTAAATCTAGTTCGGTGAAAATGTTCCGTATAAGGTAGTCTATAATTAGTAATACAGCTTTTCTGTCAATATTTCGTACCAATCATCGACCTAAATAACTGACAATATATACAGTAGGTCTCGCTGACTAACCAATCTGACCTACTGCTGGCTAAAAATAGGCATTATACTACAGAGGGTGTATTCCGATCACAGGTAAATACAGGTGAGTCAAACGTTCTATTTATACATATCATATATATATATATGAATGTATTTCTATGTGTGCTTTTAATGCTAACATCTTCCATTTGCTCCTTACGTATGTAGCCATTTTAATGAAGCATTTACATGCATTTCAGTGTTTATTCATTTTTTTTGTTTTATTTCTAATTTCAATTAATTCTTTTGTTTGGAAATCTTCTACACTTTATTATTTTACAAAAACATAACACCTTTCAATACAAATATAGAATTAGATACAGCGGAGTCAAATAATGAATGAAACTGTATCATACAGGAACAGTGAGTGTTTCTAAGGGCCTTAATTTTGAAAAGCTAGGCTTGCAGAAATATCAAGATAGGGAGGTTGCAATTAATCTATAATTCAACCAATTTTAATATATATGATGATTTCAGAAAACCGTCCAGTACAGGTGTTATTAGGAACAGCGTCACAACTCCAGTTAATGAAAACGTGCGGTTATTATAAAAACAAACACACACAAGTGAATAGCTCTTTTTGCTCTACTTCATTACATCCTTCGCTAACAGTATTTCATTCGTACTTTAATATTTTGTGTCTTTTGTACAATTACATGTAAATTTGTATTATAAAAGTGCTTCGTGGATATATCTCATAAGCTCTGCACACCGGTGTTTTACCAACAACAAATACATCATATGTTGTTATCACATCAGTTTTACTGGTTGATGTGGTCATGTCTGTGATATCCCTGGATCATATTAGAAGTGAGTATGTGTATAAATGAATGAATGATTACCAGAACCACGTACCATATATGTTTCCCCTTTCGGTGAGACTATGAACCAACAGTGTACATGTATTCTGTCAGAGCGATGTCAGGACAAACGTTAGTATGTAAAATGTGATCTACATCAACTTCAAAATCAGTTTGCTAGTTTTTTGTATATATAATATATTAATTCTAAACGAGCGTCAATGGGATGACAATATTCTAAACCGTTTCCATTGTTTATAAGAATGTGGATATAAAAAGTACCGGGAAATCTGATAAATATTGTGTAACAGAGATCACCACAAAGTTATCAATAAACAGGTATACACGACACCCAGGACACGAAGAAAGCACGACAATATCGTCAATGTAATAAAATTGACAGAACGAGATAAAACCGGGATATATTATCTACATTCCGTGAACATACGTGAATAGTACTCAATGTTAAAAATATAAAGTTAATGGATTTCCGTTTCAATTTTATATTTAAAATAGACGATATATTTATAGCGTTATATATATATGATTTATTGAATTAATTTCATTTGTTAGAATTTTGGATGTTTTAGAAATTGCTCTGTCCACGTGTTCATTAGCAAAGTTTGCCTATTGTATGTAAGGAGTTGTGATCAAGACTTTTGTTAAACAAGTAGCCTAGTCACCAATACGTTGTTTTTATATGATCTGTTAAGTAATATCAGAATGCAATATCAACTAGTCAGGGTCTTACCATTGACCGGAAACGTGAAACACAGTCAGTATGACTACAGAAATAGTGTGTCTTTAGAAAAATGGATAATTTGTAGGTAGCACTTCTGACAATCCTATAACGTGTTATAATGTTCGCGGACAAGCTTCAGCTGACCAAGTCATAACATTTTGGATCAATAATAACTAACTTAAGTTTGTTTCCATCTTGAATATTTTAAGATGATATACCGTTGATCTAATATCATTTAATCAAAGAGAAACGAAGCATGTTTCCATCTTGAACATTCAACATTCCTCTTTGTTATTTATCATTAAATAAATAGGTATAAAGGTATCCTGCTATTCATCTTGGTTTATCTATTTAACGGAGTTTACGTTTGTTATTTCCGCCTTTCACCAGACGAAAGCTTGATTAATGGAATAAGTTCCATGTAACTGAAGTCCCCTTATGACAATTTTTTCAAAGGTAAAAAATGAAAGCGACATATATCTCTTACAATGCTATGCTTACAAAACTATTTCATCATTCTCCTCAGTGATGCTTCGAAACCTAGGAGAGAAAATCACAGCTGATAGAAATTAATGTCAAAACCAATATTTGGAAATAGGCTTACCACAACAGTAAAAAATAAAATTATGATTTTCAATACTGAATTATTTCAACAGAACGTCAAGTGCACGTGCATGTTCGGAACCGTTCCACTATTCGATTAAATTCTAACAGGACACAGAGGTTCCGGTAAACTTCGGATAGTCCACCAGTATTTTAAATACCTTAATATTTTACAACTAATCATGTTTGGCACTATTTTTTTTTCTTTTATTTGTACTCTTCTTTGATTTTTTGTTGATCAAATTGTAGTAACTTCCTCCATCTTCTCCTCAACGGAAGTTTTCAGTAAACTGCCACTTTATCTCTTACTTGTATTTATAGTGGCACCGAATCACATTATACATATGTACTGATTTTGATTTTATTCCAGATATAAATGACCCACTGGCGATGCTATTATGGAAATGTATATATAAATTACTTTCTTGGTCCTTCCATCAAGGAAATATCAATGAAGACGAAACACTAGTTATTCGTTTTTATTTCGGTGTCTACAGTTGTATGTATATATATCTCAGGATACTTTTCAGTTTTCTACTTTTCCATGGATTTACGCTTACTTGATTTCCCCCAGTTTCATCATTTTTTCCAATTAAAATATAATTTTGTTCACATGTAAAAAAAATTATGATGATGAACACTTTTTCACTTTTCAATTAATCAATGACAGTTATGATGTAACACATGAAAAAAGTCGTGCGAAATGTAAGACATTTTTATACAGGAGAATTAATACCATGATTATAGTTGTCCTTATTCTGACGTCCTTAGAAAAACAATCGCTTAATGTAGTTTTATTGTAACTTGTACCTAAATCGGAATTAGTAACATGAACGTATTGTTAACTTAGTTAATTAGATAAAAATTGGTCTGGTCAATATCTAAACTGGTTTGTGAAAGCAACATTAAGTTTTTATGGGTAGTACTATTATATGTTTACCGACTTCACACAAATTCTCACACAAAAAAGTGCCATTTTAGAACATGGTATAATAAAAAAGTAGACTATACGAGAAACCCTTAATCGTATTGTTACAAGAAAAATCATTGTTTTGAGATATATGTTAATCAATGCCTTGGAGAAGTTTGGACTTTTAACTTCTTTTACAGGAGTACTTCCCCTCAACTAGAGCATCACATGATCAAAAAAGAGGTAACAAAATAACCATAGCTTTGTGATTATTTTATTTTCAACAAAATAAATAACATGAAGAAACATTTAAATATAAAACATATAAGGGAACATTTATAGTTATATATTAACTTTGTATATACATCTTAAAATTTAATATACATCATTATAATAAAATACATATGTTTAAAATGGTAATATGTGTTATAATGCCAACATGGATACGAATATCATTTACATTGTTTATCAATACATATATATTTAACAATGAAGTCATTTTATATTAACTAAACACTTTTCTGAGATGAAAAAACTTAAATAGATGACATTTTTCACTACTAAGAAGTATATCCACTCATCTTCAACAATGTCAGTTTGCATCCTCTGTTCATATTTTATATGAAATAAACAAGGTTTGATCTTGAAACATGCCATTATCTGTAGATCGAAGACCGGATCCAGTTGTCAAGTATTTCAGGCAGAGCATGCTGCCAGACTATCATGGACCAGATCCAATCGTGTGTTTATCATGATTATGATCTTACTATAACCCGTTGTCTATATGTCAAAGACTAGATCCTGTCGTCAATGTTGTGATTAACCGTCTTCATATCAAGCCTAGAAACATTTCCTGTGGACGATCCCTGGTCCACATTCATCGTACTCCTGTTTTGAGATCCACATCTGATGGAATGAGGACAGAGATCCCAGGATAGATCCACCGATCCACACCGAATACTTCCTTTCTGGGGGTGCAATGACCTTTACCTTCACATTGTTAGGCACGATGCCGTCTAATTCTTTCTTAAATCGATCTGCCATGCCTGAAGTACAGAAAGACGTATTAATATATCTTATACATCATGTCGACCATCGATTTAACCGGAAATGGTTAAATACAAATACGAACTCTTTAATTACGTTATTTATGAAATATCAAGAGGTCATATACTAGATAGGCAAAAATCAACGACTATCATCACGTATGTCAATAATTAATTATTTCTAGTAATAGAAGCCTGCAGAATAATCAATAAATCACTTGTATCAAAGTATTGTTTGTTTTGAGCGAGTACCTGATTTTATTTACATTCACTTTTCTTTTAAGGAAAAGGACGTTTCAGCGTACCTGGAAACATAGTACTTCCGCCGGACATGACGATATTGCTGTAGAGATCCCGTCTGATGTCAATATCACAGCCCATGACTGAGTTGTGTACATGCTCGTGGACTCCGTTAGATTCCATTCCTGTAAGCAAATGACGATGGATTGTAGATATTTACTGGTGTAATCAAAATTGATTTAAGTAGCGCCTTTCCATTCAAACCATTGATACAAAAACTATGTGATCAAACTATTTCTTACCTATAAAAGATGGCTGGAAGAGAACCTCTGGACACCGGAACCTTTCGTTACCAATGGTTACAACACCACCGTCAGGAAGTTCGTAAGATTTCTCTACTGTAGAAGACTTCGATGCTGATGTCATTTCACTATCAAAGTCCAAAGCTACGTACGACATCTTTTCCTTTATATCGCGAACAATTTCCATCTCAGCTGTAAAAGGAAAATCATTTCTGTGATATTTCGTTTCTTTGATGTCACGGATGGGATAACATTCTGACATCGATGCGTAGTAGTGTATTTTATTTGAGATTGTCATATATTTTTCATCAATTTTCCAAAACAAGTTCCTTGAATAATTGACTTACATGAAGTGGTGAAGTCGTATCCTCTTTCGTGGAGGATCCTCTGGAGGTAGGCTGTGAGGTCACGACCTGCCAAGTCTACACGTTTGATGGCGTGAGGGAGGGCGTAACCCTCGTAGATAGGTACCACGTGTGACACACCATCCCCGGCATCAAACACGATGCCCGTGGTTCGTCCTGAGGCATACAGAGACAACACAGCCTGTATCGCCACGTAGAAGGCAGGAGTGTTGAAAGTCTCGAACATGATCTGCAATGGAGAAATCCAAAGATATGGAAAAGACATTCTTAATTAGAATGGTTAGTTATATTGCATAACAATTTGAAACATGAAGTTAAGTTTTCTATCTCAAACATTATAAACATACCTGTATCATTTTTTCTCTGTTTGCCTTAGGATTAAGTGGCGCCTCTGTCAACATGACCGGATGTTCCTCCGGAGCCACACGAAGCTCGTTATAGAAGGTGTGGTGCCAGATCTTCTCCATGTCGTCCCAGTTGGTGACGATTCCGTGTTCCACCGGGTACTTTAGAGATAGAATCCCGCGTTTGTTCTGAGCCTCGTCTCCGACATAACATTCTTTGGCGCCCATACCGGCCATAACCACCTGTGAAGGAAACAGGATTGGAATTTGTACATACGACAAGATGACAATATTTGTCTGCATTACAAAAAAATTCAATGTTGATCTGCTATATATCATATTGACATTGATTTGTGCAAAGCTACGAAACATGTTGTTAATTACTCACATCATAACGAGGTCGTCCTGTAATGGCGGGAAAAACTGCGCGTGGCGCATCGTCACCGGCAAATCCCGCTTTACACATTCCACTTCCGTTGTCAATGACAACAGCAGAAATATCGTCTTCAAATGTAGACATGATGATTAGTACCTCAGTATTACTTTTCTTTATCCTACAATAGTCAATGGAGACGAATTAGTTCTAAGTGTAAATAGCAGTATGTGAAGCGCTTGTAAGTTGTGTGAAGAATCATTTGACTAAACTCTATAAGTATATCATTTTCAAACCAGATTTCTCAAATAACTAAATAAAAATACGTACATAAACAGAAAGTCAAAAAGCTTTCAGTAAATTATTCAAAATACAGAAAAATAACGCCGAAGTTATAAACATTACCAGAATTCCGTGCGTTTTTCTGTTACATTTGCTTACATTCTGCTATAAACATCTATGATGTTGACAAGTTTCGAACTTGTTCATACGTTCAGATGTCGATAAACTATCATTCTGTGACAGTAAGTAAGAACAGGCCATAACGGAGACACCATGAATATGTTATACAAAAGTTACCTTGATATATCTCAAATTTCCACTTAATGATAGTTTGACGGTTGTTGCGAGGTTGTGTCTCAGTCGCCTGTAGACCTGGAGCTGTACTGTTGGCTTTCTCTTTGTCGGCTGCTGTGGTCGAGTCTGCATTCTCACGGTGTCACCATGTGTTATATAGCTATGTTTCGCTTCTTCTGAGAAATATGACATATTTTAAATCTAGTTCGGTGAAAATGTTCCGTATAAGGTAGTCTATAATTAGTAATACAGCTTTTCTGTCAATATTTCGTACCAATCATCGACCTAAATAACTGACAATATATACAGTAGGTCTCGCTGACTAACCAATCTGACCTACTGCTGGCTAAAAATAGGCATTATACTACAGAGGGTGTATTCCGATCACAGGTAAATACAGGTGAGTCAAACGTTCTATTTATACATATCATATATATATATGAATGTATTTCTATGTGTGCTTTTAATGCTAACATCTTCCATTCGCTCCTTACGTATGTAGCCATTTTAATGAAGCATTTACATGCATTTCAGTGTTTATTCATTTTTTTTGTTTTATTTCTAATTTCAATTAATTCTTTTGTTTGGAAATCTTCTACACTTTATTATTTTACAAAAACATAACACCTTTCAATACAAATATAGAATTAGATACAGCGGAGTCAAATAATGAATGAAACTGTATCATACAGGAACAGTGAGTGTTTCTAAGGGCCTTAATTTTGAAAAGCTAGGCTTGCAGAAATATCAAGATAGGGAGGTTGCAATTAATCTATAATTCAACCAATTTTAATATATATGATGATTTCAGAAAACCGTCCAGTACAGGTGTTATTAGGAACAGCGTCACAACTCCAGTTAATGAAAACGTGCGGTTATTATAAAAACAAACACACACAAGTGAATAGCTCTTTTTGCTCTACTTCATTACATCCTTCGCTAACAGTATTTCATTCGTACTTTAATATTTTGTGTCTTTTGTACAATTACATGTAAATTTGTATTATAAAAGTGCTTCGTGGATATATCTCATAAGCTCTGCACACCGGTGTTTTACCAACAACAAATACATCATATGTTGTTATCACATCAGTTTTACTGGTTGATGTGGTCATGTCTGTGATATCCCTGGATCATATTAGAAGTGAGTATGTGTATAAATGAATGAATGATTACCAGAACCACGTACCATATATGTTTCCCCTTTCGGTGAGACTATGAACCAACAGTGTACATGTATTCTGTCAGAGCGATGTCAGGACAAACGTTAGTATGTAAAATGTGATCTACATCAACTTCAAAATCAGTTTGCTAGTTTTTTGTATATATAATATATTAATTCTAAACGAGCGTCAATGGGATGACAATATTCTAAACCGTTTCCATTGTTTATAAGAATGTGGATATAAAAAGTACCGGGAAATCTGATAAATATTGTGTAACAGAGATCACCACAAAGTTATCAATAAACAGGTATACACGACACCCAGGACACGAAGAAAGCACGACAATATCGTCAATGTAATAAAATTGACAGAACGAGATAAAACCGGGATATATTATCTACATTCCGTGAACATACGTGAATAGTACTCAATGTTAAAAATATAAAGTTAATGGATTTCCGTTTCAATTTTATATTTAAAATAGACGATATATTTATAGCGTTATATATATATAATTTATTGAATTAATTTCATTTGTTAGAATTTTGGATGTTTTAGAAATTGCTCTGTCCACGTGTTCATAAGCAAAGTTTGCCTATTGTATGTAAGAAGTTGTGATCAAGATTTTTGTTGAACAAGTAGCCTAGTCACCAATACGTTGTTTTTATATGATCTGTTAAGTAATATCAGAATGCAATATCAACTAGTCAGGGTCTTACCATTGACCGGAAACGTGAAACACAGTCAGTATGACTACAGAAATAGTGTGTCTTTTTAGAAAAATGGATAATTTGTAGGTAGCACTTCTGACAATCCTATAACGTGTTATAATGTCCGCGGACAAGCTTCAGCTGACCAAGTCATAACATTTTGGATCAATAATAACTAACTTACGTTTGTTTCCATCTTGAATATTTTAAGATGATATACCGTTGATCTAATATCATTTAATCAAAGAGAAACGAAGCATGTTTCCATCTTGAACATTCAACATTCCTCTTTGTTATTTATCATTAAATAAATAGGTATAAAGGTATCCTGCTATTCATCTTGGTTTATCTATTTAACGGAGTTTACGTTTGTTATTTCCGCCTTTCACCAGACGAAATCTTGATTAATGGAATAAGTTCCATGTAACTGAAGTCCCCTTATGACAATTTTTTCAAAGGTAAAAAATGAAAGCGACATATATCTCTTACAATGCTATGCTTACAAAACTATTTCATCATTCTCCACAGTGATGCTTCGAAACCTAGTAGAGAAAATCACAGCTGATCGAAATTAATGTCAAAACCAATATTTGGAAATAGGCTTACCACAACAGTAAAAAATAAAATTATGATTTTCAATACTGAATTATTTCAACAGAACGTCAAGTGCACGTGCATGTTCGGAACCGTTCCACTATTCGATTAAATTCTAACAGGACACAGAGGTTCCGGTAAACTTCGGATAGTCCACCAGTATTTTAAATACCTTAATATTTTACAACTAATCATGTTTGGCACTATTTTTTTTTCTTTTATTTGTACTCTTCTTTGATTTTTTGTTGATCAAATTGTAGTAACTTCCTCCATCTTCTCCTCAACGGAAGTTTTCAGTAAACTGCCACTTTATCTCTTACTTGTATTTATAGTGGCACCGAATCACATTATACATATGTACTGATTTTGATTTTATTCCAGATATAAATGACCCACTGGCGATGCTATTATGGAAATGTATATATAAATTACTTTCTTGGTCCTTCCATCAAGGAAATATCAATGAAGACGAAACACTAGTTATTCGTTTTTATTTCGGTGTCTACAGTTGTATGTATATATATCTCAGGATACTTTTCAGTTTTCTACTTTTCCATGGATTTACGCTTACTTGATTTCCCCCAGTTTCATCATTTTTTCCAATTAAAATATAATTTTGTTCACATGTAAAAAAATTTATGATGATGAACACTTTTTCACTTTTCAATTAATCAATGACAGTTATGATGTAACACATGAAAAAAGTCGTGCGAAATGTAAGACATTTTTATACAGGAGAATTAATACCATGATTATAGTTGTCCTTATTCTGACGTCCTTAGAAAAACAATCGCTTAATGTAGTTTTATTGTAACTTGTACCTAAATCGGAATTAGTAACATGAACGTATTGTTAACTTAGTTAATTAGATAAAAATTGGTCTGGTCAATATCTAAACTGGTTTGTGAAAGCAACATTAAGTTTTTATGGGTAGTACTATTATATGTTTACCGACTTCACACAAATTCTCACACAAAAAAGTGCCATTTTAGAACATGGTATAATAAAAAAGTAGACTATACGAGAAACCCTTAATCGTATTGTTACAAGAAAAATCATTGTTTTGAGATATATGTTAATCAATGCCTTGGAGAAGTTTGGACTTTTAACTTCTTTTACAGGAGTACTTCCCCTCAACTAGAGCATCACATGATCAAAAAAGAGGTAACAAAATAACCATAGCTTTGTGATTATTTTATTTTCAACAAAATAAATAACATGAAGAAACATTTAAATATAAAACATATAAGGGAACATTTATAGTTATATATTAACTTTGTATATACATCTTAAAATTTAATATACATCATTATAATAAAATACATATGTTTAAAATGGTAATATGTGTTATAATGCCAACATGGATACGAATATCATTTACATTGTTTATCAATACATATATATTTAACAATGAAGTCATTTTATATTAACTAAACACTTTTCTGAGATGAAAAAACTTAAATAGATGACATTTTTCACTACTAAGAAGTATATCCACTCATCTTCAACAATGTCAGTTTGCATCCTCTGTTCATATTTTATATGAAATAAACAAGGTTTGATCTTGAAACATGCCATTATCTGTAGATCGAAGACCGGATCCAGTTGTCAAGTATTTCAGGCAGAGCATGCTGCCAGAATATCATGGACCAGATCCAATCGTGTGTTTATCATGATTATGATCTTACTATAACCCGTTGTCTATATGTCAAAGACTAGATCCTGTCGTCAATGTTGTGATTAACCGTCTTCATATCAAGCCTAGAAACATTTCCTGTGGACGATCCCTGGTCCACATTCATCGTACTCCTGTTTTGAGATCCACATCTGATGGAATGAGGACAGAGATCCCAGGATAGATCCACCGATCCACACCGAATACTTCCTTTCTGGGGGTGCAATGACCTTTACCTTCACATTGTTAGGCACGATGCCGTCTAATTCTTTCTTAAATCGATCTGCCATGCCTGAAGTACAGAAAGACGTATTAATATATCTTATACATCATGTCGACCATCGATTTAACCGGAAATGGTTAAATACAAATACGAACTCTTTAATTACGTTATTTATGAAATATCAAGAGGTCATATACTAGATAGGCAAAAATCAACGACTATCATCACGTATGTCAATAATTAATTATTTCTAGTAATAGAAGCCTGCAGAATAATCAATAAATCACTTGTATCAAAGTATTGTTTGTTTTGAGCGAGTACCTGATTTTATTTACATTCACTTTTCTTTTAAGGAAAAGGACGTTTCAGCGTACCTGGAAACATAGTACTTCCGCCGGACATGACGATATTGCTGTAGAGATCCCGTCTGATGTCAATATCACAGCCCATGACTGAGTTGTGTACATGCTCGTGGACTCCGTTAGATTCCATTCCTGTAAGCAAATGACGATGGATTGTAGATATTTACTGGTGTAATCAAAATTGATTTAAGTAGCGCCTTTCCATTCAAACCATTGATACAAAAACTATGTGATCAAACTATTTCTTACCTATAAAAGATGGCTGGAAGAGAACCTCTGGACACCGGAACCTTTCGTTACCAATGGTTACAACACCACCGTCAGGAAGTTCGTAAGATTTCTCTACTGTAGAAGACTTCGATGCTGATGTCATTTCACTATCAAAGTCCAAAGCTACGTACGACATCTTTTCCTTTATATCGCGAACAATTTCCATCTCAGCTGTAAAAGGAAAATCATTTCTGTGATATTTCGTTTCTTTGATGTCACGGATGGGATAACATTCTGACATCGATGCGTAGTAGTGTATTTTATTTGAGATTGTCATATATTTTTCATCAATTTTCCAAAACAAGTTCCTTGAATAATTGACTTACATGAAGTGGTGAAGTCGTATCCTCTTTCGTGGAGGATCCTCTGGAGGTAGGCTGTGAGGTCACGACCTGCCAAGTCTACACGTTTGATGGCGTGAGGGAGGGCGTAACCCTCGTAGATAGGTACCACGTGTGACACACCATCCCCGGCATCAAACACGATGCCCGTGGTTCGTCCTGAGGCATACAGAGACAACACAGCCTGTATCGCCACGTAGAAGGCAGGAGTGTTGAAAGTCTCGAACATGATCTGCAATGGAGAAATCCAAAGATATGGAAAAGACATTCTTAATTAGAATGGTTAGTTATATTGCATAACAATTTGAAACATGAAGTTAAGTTTTCTATCTCAAACATTATAAACATACCTGTATCATTTTTTCTCTGTTTGCCTTAGGATTAAGTGGCGCCTCTGTCAACATGACCGGATGTTCCTCCGGAGCCACACGAAGCTCGTTATAGAAGGTGTGGTGCCAGATCTTCTCCATGTCGTCCCAGTTGGTGACGATTCCGTGTTCCACCGGGTACTTTAGAGATAGAATCCCGCGTTTGTTCTGAGCCTCGTCTCCGACATAACATTCTTTGGCGCCCATACCGGCCATAACCACCTGTGAAGGAAACAGGATTGGAATTTGTACATACGACAAGATGACAATATTTGTCTGCATTACAAAAAAATTCAATGTTGATCTGCTATATATCATATTGACATTGATATGTGCAAAGCTACGAAACATGTTGTTAATTACTCACATCATAACGAGGTCGTCCTGTAATGGCGGGAAAAACTGCGCGTGGCGCATCGTCACCGGCAAATCCCGCTTTACACATTCCACTTCCGTTGTCAATGACAACAGCAGAAATATCGTCTTCAAATGTAGACATGATGATTAGTACCTCAGTATTACTTTTCTTTATCCTACAATAGTCAATGGAGACGAATTAGTTCTAAGTGTAAATAGCAGTATGTGAAGCGCTTGTAAGTTGTGTGAAGAATCATTTGACTAAACTCTATAAGTATATCATTTTCAAACCAGATTTCTCAAATAACTAAATAAAAATACGTACATAAACAGAAAGTCAAAAAGCTTTCAGTAAATTATTCAAAATACAGAAAAATAACGCCGAAGTTATAAACATTACCAGAATTCCGTGCGTTTTTCTGTTACATTTGCTTACATTCTGCTATAAACATCTATGATGTTGACAAGTTTCGAACTTGTTCATACGTTCAGATGTCGATAAACTATCATTCTGTGACAGTAAGTAAGAACAGGCCATAACGGAGACACCATGAATATGTTATACAAAAGTTACCTTGATATATCTCAAATTTCCACTTAATGATAGTTTGACGGTTGTTGCGAGGTTGTGTCTCAGTCGCCTGTAGACCTGGAGCTGTACTGTTGGCTTTCTCTTTGTCGGCTGCTGTGGTCGAGTCTGCATTCTCACGGTGTCACCATGTGTTATATAGCTATGTTTCGCTTCTTCTGAGAAATATGACATATTTTAAATCTAGTTCGGTGAAAATGTTCCGTATAAGGTAGTCTATAATTAGTAATACAGCTTTTCTGTCAATATTTCGTACCAATCATCGACCTAAATAACTGACAATATATACAGTAGGTCTCGCTGACTAACCAATCTGACCTACTGCTGGCTAAAAATAGGCATTATACTACAGAGGGTGTATTCCTATCACAGGTAAATACAGGTGAGTCAAACGTTCTATTTATACATATCATATATATATATGAATGTATTTCTATGTGTGCTTTTAATGCTAACATCTTCCATTCGCTCCTTACGTATGTAGCCATTTTAATGAAGCATTTACATGCATTTCAGTGTTTATTCATTTTTTTTGTTTTATTTCTAATTTCAATTAATTCTTTTGTTTGGAAATCTTCTACACTTTATTATTTTACAAAAACATAACACCTTTCAATACAAATATAGAATTAGATACAGCGGAGTCAAATAATGAATGAAACTGTATCATACAGGAACAGTGAGTGTTTCTAAGGGCCTTAATTTTGAAAAGCTAGGCTTGCAGAAATATCAAGATAGGGAGGTTGCAATTAATCTATAATTCAACCAATTTTAATATATATGATGATTTCAGAAAACCGTCCAGTACAGGTGTTATTAGGAACAGCGTCACAACTCCAGTTAATGAAAACGTGCGGTTATTATAAAAACAAACACACACAAGTGAATAGCTCTTTTTGCTCTACTTCATTACATCCTTCGCTAACAGTATTTCATTCGTACTTTAATATTTTGTGTCTTTTGTACAATTACATGTAAATTTGTATTATAAAAGTGCTTCGTGGATATATCTCATAAGCTCTGCACACCGGTGTTTTACCAACAACAAATACATCATATGTTGTTATCACATCAGTTTTACTGGTTGATGTGGTCATGTCTGTGATATCCCTGGATCATATTAGAAGTGAGTATGTGTATAAATGAATGAATGATTACCAGAACCACGTACCATATATGTTTCCCCTTTCGGTGAGACTATGAACCAACAGTGTACATGTATTCTGTCAGAGCGATGTCAGGACAAACGTTAGTATGTAAAATGTGATCTACATCAACTTCAAAATCAGTTTGCTAGTTTTTTGTATATATAATATATTAATTCTAAACGAGCGTCAATGGGATGACAATATTCTAAACCGTTTCCATTGTTTATAAGAATGTGGATATAAAAAGTACCGGGAAATCTGATAAATATTGTGTAACAGAGATCACCACAAAGTTATCAATAAACAGGTATACACGACACCCAGGACACGAAGAAAGCACGACAATATCGTCAATGTAATAAAATTGACAGAACGAGATAAAACCGGGATATATTATCTACATTCCGTGAACATACGTGAATAGTACTCAATGTTAAAAATATAAAGTTAATGGATTTCCGTTTCAATTTTATATTTAAAATAGACGATATATTTATAGCGTTATATATATATGATTTATTGAATTAATTTCATTTGTTAGAATTTTGGATGTTTTAGAAATTGCTCTGTCCACGTGTTCATTAGCAAAGTTTGCCTATTGTATGTAAGAAGTTGTGATCAATATTTTTGTTGAACAGGTAGCCTAGTCACCAATACGTTGTTTTTATATGATCTGTTAAGTAATATCAGAATGCAATATCAACTAGTCAGGGTCTTACCATTGACCGGAAACGTGAAACACAGTTAGTATGACTACAGAAATAGTGTCTCTTTAGAAAAATGGATAATTTGTAAGTAGCACTTCTGACAATCCTATAACGTGTTATAGTGTTCGCGGACAAGCTTCAGCTGACCAAGTCATAACATTTTGGATCAATAATAACTAACTTAAGTTTGTTTCCATCTTGAATATTTTAAGATGATAGACCTTTGATCTAATATCATTTAATCAGAGAGAAACGAAGCATGTTTCCGTTTTGGACATTCAACATTCCTCTTTGTAATTTCTCATGAAATAAATAGGTATATAGGCATCCTGCTGTTCATCTTGGTTTATCTCTCTAACGGATTTTACGTTTGTTATTACGGTCTTTCCGCCTTTCACCAGACGAAATCTTAATTAATGGAATAAGTTCCATGTAACTGAATTCCTCTTATGACATTTTTTCAAAGGTGAAAAATGAAGGCGACATTTATATCTTATAATGCTATAGAGCGCGATATGTATCGTACTAACGACACGTAAATAACAGCAAATTTCACTGTATATTGACCATTAGAACTGCATCATAATACTATTTCATCATTTTCTTCATTGATGCTTTTGGCCTAAATTATTGAAACCTAGGAGAGAAACGAGAAATTCACAGCTTGTCGAAATTAATGTCAAAACCAATATTTGGGAATAGGCTAACCACAAGAGTAAGAAAAATATTCTTTTCAATACTGAATGATTTCAACAGAACGTCAAGTGCACGTGAAATGTTCAGACCGTTCAACTATTCGATTAAATTCTAACAGGATACAGAGGTTCTGGCAAACCCCGGATAGTCCATGAGTATTCTAAATACCTTAATATTTTACATCTAATCATGTTTGGCACCATTTTTTCTTTTATTTGTACGCTTCTTCGATTGTTTGTTATTTAAATTGTAGTGACTTCCTCCATCTTCTCTTCCTCAACCGAAGTTTTCAATAAACTGCCACTTTATCTCTTACTTGTATTTATAGTGGCACCGAATCACAGTATACATATGTACTGATTTTGATTTTATTCCAGATATAAATGACCCACTGGCGATGCTATTATGGAAATGTATATATAAATTACTTTCTTGGTCCAACCATCAAGGAAATATCACTGAAGACGACACATTTGTTATTCGTTTTTAATTCGTTGTCTACAGTTGTAATTATATATATCTCAGGCTACTTTTCAGTTTTCTACTTTTCCATGGATTTACGTTTACTTGATTTTCCCCAGTTTCATCATTTTTTCCAATTAAAATATAATATTGTTCACATGTAAAAAAATTATGATGATGAACACTTTTTCACTTTTCAATTAATCAATGACAGTTATGATGTAACACATGAAAAAAGTCGTGCGAAATGTAAGACGTTTCTATACAGGAGAATTAATACCATGATTATAGTTGTCCTTATTCTGACGTCCTTAGAAAAACAATCGCTTAATGTAGTTTTATTGTAACTTTTACCTAAATCGGGATTAGTAACATGAATGTATTGTTAACTTAATTAAGTAGATAAAAATTGGTCTGGTCAATATCTAAACTGGTTTGTGAAAGCAACATTAAGTTTTTATGGGTAGTACTATTATATGTTTACCGACTTCACACAAATTCTCACACAAAAAAGTGCCATTTTAGAACATGGTATAATAAAAAAGTAGACTATACGAGAAACCCTTAATCGTATTGTTACAAGAAAAATCATTGTTTTGAGATATATGTTAATCAATGCCTTGGAGAAGTTTGGACTTTTAACTTTTTTTACAGGAGTTACTTCCCCTCAACTAGAGCATCACATGATCAAAAAAGAGGTAACAAAATAACCATAGCTTTGTGATTATTTTATTTTCAACAAAATAAATAACATGAAGAAACATTTAAATATAAAACATATAAGGGAACATTTATAGTTATATATTAACTTTGTATATACATCTTAAAATTTAATATACATCATTATAATAAAATACATATGTTTAAATGGTAATATGTGTTATAATGCCAACATGGATACGAATATCATTTATATTGTTTGTCAATACATATATATTTAACATTGAAGTCATTTTATATTAACAAAATTCTTTTCTTACATGAAAACATTTGAATAGACATTTTTCACTTCTAAGAAGTATATCCACTCATCTTCAACAATGTCAATTTGCATTCTCTGTTCATATTTTATACGTAAATAAACAAGGTTTGATCTTGAAACATGCCATTGTCTGTAGATCGAAGACCAGGTCCAGTTGTCAAGTATCTATGGCTGAGCTTGTTGCCAGTAAATCATGGACCAGATAAAATCATATGTTTATAATTATTTTAATTTTATTATAATAGTTATAACTCAGACAGATCACGTTGTCTTTATATTGAGTTGTCAGAATGTAGCAGGCTATATTTTGTTGACTCGTTGTCATTAAGTCACCTGCTAAATCTCGTTGTTCCGTTGTCAATATATCATAGACTAGAACTCGTTGTCCCGTTGACAGTATGAAACATGCTATATTTCGCTGACCCGTTGTTATTAAGTCACATTGGCTAGAATTCATTGACCCGTTGTTAGTATGTAACATGCTAGATATCGTTGTCCCGTTGTCATTAAGTCACATGCTAAGTCTCGTTGACCCGTTGTCAGTATTTCTCAGCTTTCACCTCGTCCCGTTGTCTCTATGTCAAAGACTAGATCCTGCCGTCAATGTTGTGATTAACCGTTTTCATATCAAGCCTAGAAACACTTTCTGTGGACGATCCCTGGTCCACATTCATCGTACTCCTGTTTTGAGATCCACATCTGATGGAATGAGGACAGAGATCCCAGGATAGATCCACCGATCCACACCGAATACTTCCTTTCTGGGGGTGCAATGACCTTTACCTTCACATTGTTAGGTACAATGCCGTCTAATTCTTTCTTAAATCGATCTGCCATGCCTGAAGTACAGAAAGGACGTATCTTATACATCATGTCGACCAGCAAATTAACCGGAAATGGTTAAATACAAATACGAACTCTTCAATTACGTTTTTTATGAAATACCAAGATCGTATAGTAGATCGACCAAAATCAACTACTATCATCACGTATGTCAATAATTGATTATTTCTAGTAATAGAAGTCTGCAGAATAATCAATAAATCACTTGTATCAAAGTATTGTTTGTTTTGCGCGAGTACAGATAATTTATTTACATTCACTTTTCTTTTAAGGAAAAAGACGTTTCAGCGTACCTGGAAACATAGTACTTCCGCCGGACATGACGACATTGCTGTAGAGATCTCGTCGGATGTCAATATCACAGCCCATGACTGAGTTGTGTAGATGCTCGTGGACTCCGTTAGATTCCATTCCTGTAAGCAAATGACGATGGATTGTAGATATTTACTTGTGTATTCAAAATTGTTTTAAGTAGCGCCTTTCCATTCCAATCACTGATACAAAACTATGTTATCAAACTATCTCTTACCTATAAATGATGGCTGGAAGAGAACCTCTGGGCACCGGAACCTTTCGTTACCAATGGTAACAACACCACCATCAGGAAGTTCGTAAGATTTCTCTACTGTAGAAGACTTCGATGCTAATGTCATTTCACTCTCAAAGTCCAAAGCAACGTACGACATTTTCTCCTTCATATCGCGTACAATTTCCATCTCAGCTGTAAAAGGAAAATCATTTCTGTGATATTTCGTTTCATTGATGTCACCGATGGGATTACATTCTGACATCGACGTGTAATAGTGTATTTTATTTGAGATTGTCATATATTTTCATCAATTTTCAAAAACAAATTCGGTTAATTCTTGACTTACATGAAGTGGTGAAGTTGTATCCTCTTTCGTGGAGGATCCTCTGGAGGTAGGCTGTGAGGTCACGACCTGCCAAGTCTACACGTTTGATAGCGTGAGGGAGGGCGTAACCCTCGTAGATAGGTACCACGTGTGACACACCATCCCCGGCATCAAACACGATGCCCGTGGTTCGTCCTGAGGCATACAGAGACAACACAGCCTGTATCGCCACGTAGAAGGCAGGAGTGTTGAAAGTCTCGAACATGATCTGCAATGGAGAAACCCAAAAATATGGAAAAGACATTCTTAATTAGAATGGTTAGTAATATTGCATGACAATTTGGAACATGAAGTTAAGTTTTCTATCTCAAACATTATCAACATACCTGTATCATTTTTTCTCTGTTTGCTTTTGGATTAAGTGGCGCCTCTGTCAACATGACCGGATGTTCCTCCGGAGCCACGCGAAGCTCGTTATAGAAGGTGTGGTGCCAGATCTTCTCCATGTCGTCCCAGTTGGTGACGATTCCGTGTTCCACCGGGTACTTTAGAGATAGAATCCCGCGTTTGTTCTGAGCCTCGTCTCCAACATAACATTCTTTGGCGCCCATACCGGCCATAACCACCTGTAAAGGAAACAGAATTTGTGAAATCACAGAAATCATTATATAATATACATTAATGGTTATTTAATATTTAAATCAACTTAACTCTTATATAACCATTGCTGTAAATTGTACTATAGTAGATTGCTGGGGTCATAATTATTTAAAATATTCTCCATCTTGTTATGTAATTGATCATGAAAAAAAATGTTGTGTCTGATGATATACTCCTTAACAACTCACATCATAACGAGGTCGTCCTGTAATGGCGGGGAAAACTGAGCGTGGCGCATCGTCCCCAGCAAATCCCGCTTTACACATTCCACTTCCGTTGTCAAGGACAACAGCAGCAATATCTTCTTCAAATGAGGACATGTTTTCCGGTATCTCAGTTTTTCCAACTTTTGTTTAATATCCTGAATAGGAGAAAATTCAATGAAATCTGATTATCATGATATCTGGTTTGGCCAGCAAACGTACAAATAACAATACTTCAAATATTGTTTTTCTCAGTAAAATACATTTAAAAAAAAGGGCATACTTAACAGATAAATAAGAAATACATTCTGTTGTCTGCAGTATGTTATGAAGCAGAACGAATCACGAAATGTTGTAATTTCATTAAAATGAGAGCAAAAATTTAAAAAAAAATAAATAAATAGAAAAAAAAAAAAATAAATAAAAAATAGGAAAATTCATTTTATATGAAAGAATTTTATAAAAATAAGCACGCAACACGATAATAAATGCAACATAATCCAATTTCACGTGTTGTTAATCTCAATCATTTATAATATTTAATATCTAGTATGATGTTGTTTTCTTTATTTTAATTCAATATAAAGGTATACAATATGTACATACCATAACAGATACGATTACGTACTAAACAAATACCAGTGGTTATCATTGTAATATATGAATAATTTTAATGAAATCTTACCTAAATGCTTCTATGGCAGGATGCTTTTCTTTGTTTTCCTTCTTGTGACGTTGATTTTCTTTCTAAGAAAAAAAAACTGTCGCTCAATATTCTGCGGTCTGTGCTATATCTCCAAGTCTGGATTTCTATAGTGCGACCGCTCGTTATATAGTAATATTTTGCCTCTTCTAAGAAATCTGACGTACTTGAATCTAGTTCGGTGAATAGTTTCCATATAAGGTATAGAATGATTAGTAATAAACCAACACATCTATAAGTACATAAGTATTACCTATCATCGATAAAATTAAACGACAAGTTTCTCCTTTCGAGTGACTAACATAGATCTAGACGACAGTCTAAAAATAGACATTATACTGGATAGGGTGGATTCCTACTACAGGTAAACACAGGTGAGTCAGTTGTTCTGTTCATATGTGTGTATAGTCATCGGAATTATTGATTGTTTAATCGATGGATATTTTACAAATATTTGAAAGCAGTCTACAGGGCTACATAAATTGTGTTTAAAATGTTGTTTGCCTTACTGAATATGTATAGACAGAGATATATGATATAAGTCGTCGCACACACCTCAGGCTATTTTTATTGAATATTTGTCTATTTCAAAAATACTTTTGCCATACAAATAAATGTTTTAATTTCTTTTTACAGCTAACACTAATGTTTTTAACCTTTAAAACGTACAGGTGTATGTATAACATTTTCAACACGTATACAATTCTACTCTAGAATCACTTAATGTGAAACCCAATGTGTCGCTTCACTGTAATAATCATTGTTACTGAAGACCTATTTATAAAGAGTTTCACAACAGCCATTTTCCATGTTCTTGCTACATGTGATAAGTAATACATTGCAATATTTTTTTCATGAGTACTTCTAATGAACATTCTTGTTGGAGGACAATTCTGTAAGTCAAGTATATACTGGTATATATAACATAACGCATTTCAAAGGCCAATGTATACAGATTATATATGAAGCTGCGATAGATGATTGACAGCAAAAACAAGCATACCTTCACCTTTGTGTTTTGTGTATGATAATATAAAGTAAACGAAATATGTTAATGATTTTATTTAACACAAACAGTTACAATAGTTTTTTCAAGATAAATACCAACATGTCAACATAATCATTTTCCGAACAGAAACCAATAAAGCTAAGGCCAAATGTGAATAAGATAAAGTTTTGCATGCAGACTCCCGAAAAAGTTCGAGGACAATAAGACCAGGTTTTCCGGAAGAGTAACAGTCTTCTGCTTCATCGATGACACCCATCATGATCTTACAAAATTAGATATGAAAGCTTCTGAAACCTCGTCAGACCTCGTTATCATGGGTGCATCTTCGAAGCAGTTTGAAACAGTTTTTTTTAATCTCAAAATGCATTATTTTTAACTTGCATTATCAGCTTTATGTTGAGAAACAAGAATAAAATGTAAGTCGTCCTTTATATCTTGTATGAAACAAAGATCACAGAGTCTGTCACTTCTACCTATCGCCCTATATAAACATCATGGAAAAATTTGACAATAGTCCATATACATTATTCGAGATTTCCAGGGAAAAAAGATAAATCCCAAGTAAATGAGTGTCGTATCAGCCTTTGATATCATTACTTAATGAACGTAAACTCAGCTAATGAATTAATTATGCCATTTGAATTAATCATTAATTATTAATAATAATGATAATTTGACAGAAAATATACAATTTCGAGTTCCATCTTTTTTGTTTAATATTATAGCCAAACCATTAAAGATCATTTTCGCGCGCATGTCTGGTGAAGCTTGTAGTCTAACATTTGACATCATTTGTTTGATACTGTATTTCCTAAACTGTAGTGTGAGAGACCTGAAACCTTCCTTATCGTAACATTACGTGATACAAAAGATGAAACTACAGTAAGATGCAGTTTTAGTCATTATTAAACTTGTCATGAAATACTGAATTCGTACTTCAATATGCTTGATCTGTAATTCAGTTTTACAAACATTACAAAAATAGGACTTAAGTTGACTGATGTTTATTGTATCTGTCATGAATAAAAATAAATACATAGACTGGTTTTTATTAAATCTATTACATACAGAATTTATGGATCAAAATTTCTTACATAAAAAAATCTTTTTAAAGATCCTCTGCAATTAAATCAAGGTTTCATATACACAACATCCCAAGTTTTCATGGCGTTAATGTCTGAAAATAAACATATCCTGAGATTGCACAAAAAAAATCATACATTCAATACCAGTATAAAATTAGTTACAGTAAGGGTAAATCATGAATTAAATTGCATGATACAACTGATTCGTCTTTCAAGGGCTCATCAGTGATGATACATCCTATAGTTGTTTCGTCCTTCTAGGGCTCATCATTAATTCTACATATCATACAGCTGTTTCGTCCTTCTAGGGCTCATCATTAATTCTACATATCATACAGCTGTTTCGTCCTTCTAGGGCTCATCATTAATTCTTCATATCATACAGCTGTTTCGTCCTTCTAAGGCTCATCAGTGATACTAACGGCCTAATTTTGAATCATAGGAGGCGAAGTAAGAACATCTTAAGTTATCGAAAGGAAAATGTTTACATCTAATAATATATAAATCCTTAATCGTATTGTTGTATAGTTTGTTATGAATGCAAAAGACAAAAAACAAAAACAACACTACTTAAGTGAAAGAATATTTTAAAACGCCAATTTAAAATCAAATACAATATTGTTAATCTATCTATAAATTAATTTTCATCATACAACTTTAATTTCTAGACTATTCATTCAATTTTACTCAACTTAAAAAAGAAAAAAACAAGCTGCAGTCAAATTTGTTTTCTCTGTACATCTTGTAAATTGAAAAGCTCGCCATTCTGCTATACAGTTAAGCAATTTCCGCTGGCAATTTTCTTTCACATCACTGCAGTGTTTCTGTCAAAACTTAAATGAAAAAAACTGTTTGAATTAAGACACTGTTTGATTGCAGTCTCCTTATTAGAAGATCTTTACCTTTCTGATTGATTAAATATTCTAGGGCCGGTTCCCACTATCGCGATTGTCATGCAAGAAATCGTCAACTGACGGACTATTGTTGTATACCTTGTTCGCATATAAGAACGTGAAATTATTTATTTGGATTGATCAAGGTTTGCATGGCGGGTGTCGTCAATGAAACAGAAGACTCTTGCTCATTCATAACACCTGGTCTTATTCTCCTTGTACTTTTTCTGAAGTATCCGTGTTAATAATTCTTTTGTTTATATTTTGTCACTGTTTATGGAATTTAATATTTTGATAATGATTATGTTGCTATTTTGGTATTTTCTTGATTATGTGAGGGAGATGAAGTAACAAAAATGAACTGCCTTTTAATAATTTTATAATAAAAAAATAAAAGATACAAACATCATTTGAATAAAAATCATATCAAAATTGATGAAACATGTGTATACATTATACACATCATACAAAGTTTAGAAGTTCAATGATACGTCATAATTGGAATTATCACATAATGTAACAATATGACTTACTTGGAAAAATATATATTTTGTTAAATAGAAAAAAAGTTAAATGGATATATGACGAATATATTCAAATAAAGATACATCATCATAACCTCTCTTTGTTATATAATAAAACAGTTATTCGCCCCGGTCAGTATTTGTTTTCTTCTGCTCAATATCACAGCATATTAACCAAGTAAAGAATCCATAATAGTATAATATAAAGGTAATGATTAAATATTATAGTACAGATCATATGATATAATAATGATAAAATGCAATAGTACGATAATAGATTAATCCAAGTAACTTTTCGAACATACACCTGTGATATTTTACATCAATACAAATATTTACAATAAATTCATTTGATATCTGAACAACTTGTAATGTTGGATGAAAACAACACATACCGACACATTTTTACCAAGCAATAACCATATCCCTGTACAGAAGCAGTCAAATGAGTCTGTTTGGTCTTACTTATTGTCAATCACCATCCGGACAATGTTTGTCATCAGAGTGAGTACCCAGTATTATTGCAAGTACATTAAACACCTGCTCAGGCCTACAGAAAATCACAGACAAGGGTCAATTTTAAGTTGAACACCAGATCCAATCCAACTGCGCCATTGGCCTGTTCCCATTATCAGTCTGTCACAAACAGATTCTCGATTCAGTTTATCAAGTGTACAAAATAAATTGATTTAAGTTGTCTCCAGCCTAGAAACACTTTCTGTGGACGATTCCTGGTCCACATTCATCATACTCCTGTTTCGATACCCACATCTGTTGGAATGTAGATAGAGACCCCAAGATAGATCCCCCGATCCACACGGAATACTTCCTCTCTGGGGCTGCATGTACCTTTACCTTCACATTGTTAGGCACAATGCCGTCGAGTTCTGTTTTAAATCTATCAGCAATACCTGAAACACAGATAAATTAGATAATCATATCGTAGAGTAGGACTTCCCGAAGTTGTTGGTCTTCAATTGTGAAAATTGTCTTTGTAATACGGCAACTAGATTTTACAAGGTAGTAATATGAAATGTTTTGTTTATTTTTTGTTTTCATTATCATTTATTGGTAGTCTGAAAAAGTAGTACAAGACAATTAAATAGAGGAGATGATTTGTAAAATGTACCTGGAAACATAGTACTTCCGCCGGAGATGACGATATTGCTGTAGAGTTCTCGTCGGATGTCAATATCACAACCCATGACTGAGTTGTGTAGATGCTCGTGGACTCCGTTAGATTCCATTCCTGTGGAAAAAATGATGACGTATTGTAGTTCTTTCACTGGAGTATTCAAATTGGATTGAAAACAAAGCTACGCATTTCAACTTCTACGATTATTACTTACGTAGTAATCGAATATCACCTACCTATAAACGATGGCTGGAAGAGGACTTCCGGACATCGGAACCTTTCGTTGCCAATGGTAATAACTTCACCATCCGGAAGTTCGTACAACTTCTCGACTGTAGAAGACGATGATGCTAGTGTCATTTCATTTTCAAAGTCTAAAGCCACGTAGCACAGTTTCTCCTTCATATCCCGTACAATCTCCATTTCGGCTGTAAGCAATGGATATTTGACAATTAATGATAATTCATTTAATAGTTTTGAAATTGTATCAAGTTTGTTTGAAAAATTCTGTGGATTATGGAACAAAAGAAAGTCTCACATGAACTTGTGAAGTTGTATCCTCTTTCGTGGAGGATCCTCTGGAGGTAGGCTGTGAGGTCACGACCTGCCAAGTCTACACGTTTGATGGCGTGAGGGAGGGCGTAACCCTCGTAGATAGGTACCACGTGTGACACACCATCCCCGGCATCAAACACGATGCCCGTGGTTCGTCCTGAGGCATACAGAGACAAAACAGCCTGTATCGCCACATAGAAGGCAGGGGTGTTGAAAGTCTCGAACATGATCTGTATGAAAAATGGAAACGAAATAATTAAAAGATAAATGACATTTTATCTCTTCCTTTCTATCATTTATTGATGATTATCAAATCTTGTTAAAGCAGTGGTAAACAATAGCAATTATAAAACCTATTGTTAAAATAATGTACCTGTATCATTTTTTCTCTGTTTGCCTTAGGATTAAGTGGTGCTTCTGTCAACATGACCGGATGTTCCTCCGGCGCCACGCGAAGCTCGTTATAGAAGGTGTGGTGCCAGATCTTCTCCATGTCGTCCCAGTTGGTGACGATTCCGTGTTCCACCGGGTACTTTAGAGATAGAATCCCGCGTTTGTTCTGAGCCTCGTCTCCAACATAGCACTCTTTGGCGCCCATACCGGTCATGACCACCTGTTGAGGAATAAAGGTTAATATTCGTCAAAAATAGCATTTAATGATAAAATCATGATTAGAATTAAAAACAAAGGTTTTAATATGCTACTTTCTTGGAATGGCTTCGTATTTTGCTACAATGCTTTTGTTTGGGCTGCGATATTTAATTTCTTTGGGATAGATTGTCCGATGATATCAGCGAACAACTTAAAATTTCAGCTACAGAAACTTGGTTTGCTTTTGACATTAATCAAAATTTGATGACATTTTAGACAAAGCAAGACGTTTTATCTGATGGAGCAATAAATCGTTCAATTCTTGAGTTCAACACAATTTGAAAGACAATAACGTTTGTTACAATTTTAATATTGACAATATTTCACAAAATACATTATATGTATAAGGATCGAGGTTTTACTCACATCGTAACGTGGTCGTCCAGTAATGGCAGGAAACACAGCACGTGGTGCATCATCTCCAGCAAATCCCGCCTTACACATTCCACTTCCGTTGTCAATGACAACAGCAGCAATATCGTCTTCAAATGTAGACATGATTTCTGATACCTAAGGATTACAACTTTTCTCCTACCGAACAAAAAAGGTCGAAAACTTCAAAATGACAGTACATATCACAGAAATGAAGTGACAAGTTAAGAAATAGAACGTATCATATCAGAATTAATGGAAGCTGTTTAATTAAAGAAGGTTCTGAAAATGATTCTATTGTGTGTAAAACGTAATTAGAAAATAAACAACAAAAATTATGAACATGAAGAAGGAAAACAGGACTGAAAATTATTTCAAGAAAATCATTAATCGCACGTCATAACGTCATTAAATTGCAAAAAAAAATATATATATGATAAAGTATCTTGATTGAGTTCTTGTAATTTCAAAAACAGGTTAAAAAGTATAATAAGGTGTACAAAGTAATGAAAATTTTATCATAACTTCATTGATATCCTCAGTAACCATGGTTATCGTAATAAGGTTAGTTTGAGAAATGTGAACATATTGATGTAAGTTCTTACCTTGCTTTAAGTAAAATAAAACTTTCGTTTTTCTTTAAGTGACGTTGTTATTCTCGATATGTCTTACTCTGCAAAATTTTTCGAGATTCTGAATCATCATGGTGCGAGTGTGTTTATATAGTGCTGTTTCTTTTCTTCTGAGAATCTAGTGTAATACAGACCGGCGAACATTTACCATATAAGGTATGAAACATTTCTTAATAACCCGAGTTCTCTATGAAATGACCATATAAATATATATAAGCTATCATCGACAAAAATAAACGGCAAGTCTCGCTCTTTCTGCGTGTGACGAAACCTAAATGTAGCTCACACACTGCTGTCGGTCGACAGTCTAAATATAGACATTATAATCAATAGGGCAGATTCCGACTTCAGGTTTACAAAAATGAGCGGAACGAACGTTTGTTTATAAATTTTATATTTTTCTTATTTCTTCAGCTCAACATTAACATATTTACCCAGTTTATTCCCGACGTGTGTTAAACCCACACTAAACCTGATTTACCACCCGCTGTTTACATTCTGATCATATTTTTGACGTTCTTTGTAAACAACCTGATACCGAAAATTCAGCCAAGTATATATATTTCAATATTTTCGCTGATTTTCCTACCTTTTATGCTTTCTCTCATTTGGTCGAGGACGAAACAGATACAGATTAAGTAATTATTTGACATATACTGAATATCATACTTAATTTGTATTAAAAGGCGCTATTCCCTTAGATGTACAATTTCCTCTCCATTTATCTCATATCTAGTTCTTTGAGATGATTTGCACCTTTCAACCATATAATGCTAAGTTAATAATCATTCGGAATGATCACTTTAAATTTAATAGCCTATGGACATAAATCTATTGTATTCCATTGTCAATTTGAATTTTATTACTGTCCATGGCTTCTGGATAATTCTCCATGTCCATTGTGTTACCCAGACAATATCAGCCAGATCTATATCAGGGCAATACCAAGTGTTAAGACTCTCATGATACAATGATTTATTGAAGCAGTAACAATATCTTCAATTTAAATAGATTTCAGCACAAGACTAGAATCGTTATAATTTAGAACCAGAACAAGAAAACGATACAAATCCAAGAACTGTTGAAGATCGTAACAAACGTTACAAGTACATACCTCATTTAAATACTAATTCTGATTAAATACAGCAGAGCCAAATGTCTCAAAATGGCGGCAAGCTTTAATGAAAACACATAACAAATATCTTTAATTAATTTATTACTGACTGGATCAATTCGATGAAATTTTACATGCAAAAAATAGATCTAAAGATACAATGAGTATATATAAGTACAAATAATTGATTTCATCCTATGAAGTTCAGTCCCTGAACATCAATTAACTGTTACATATGGTGTTCCAATCTAGCAGGGGCCTCGGATTTACTCGACACATCCTGTTCCACACTTATAGACGTGTGGTCACTTGTGTAGCTTGGTGGTGCGGATGCAACTTTTTCGTTTCCAGTTCCGCTTGTTCCTGGCATTGGCCAAACGGAATTAAGATGTCCCGACCGTAAAACTTGTCCGGATCCGGAAGCGTAAGGTGTGTCACCATAGTATCTAGGTGGTTCGGGTGTATAGGGAGGTAGACTAGAGGCATTGTGTAGGAACAGTCGAGATTCTCCAGGGGGTACCACCACTATTTTCAAAGGTAAACATTTGTTATAATAAAATAGATAAAAAAAAAATAATAATAAAAAAAAAATTAGTAACATCCGCTTTCAACTTAAATTCTGCTGGTATCTATCACTGGTGTCAGAATTATTTGTACATTCAGTTACTGTAATATTTATAGATCCCGTATTAAATTGTAGTTGTATCAAATGGTTACCTGTTCACTTCCATTGATTTCAAGATCAAATGCTTTAAACAAACTGTCTTAATACAGTATTAATACATGTTTACTTTTCGTTGGTGGTGAATCAAACACACTTCTTCCACATGGTCAGTCACGTGTTTGTAAAACACCACAAAAATTACATACACCTTTAAATGAAGAGGAGAGTTCTTGCGCTTCCGAAAGCTTTAACTATTCGGTTACATCATTCAAGGAGCGTTATGTGTAAATGTTGTGTATTAATCCCAAATTCATATGTGCCATGTTTACATGTCTTGTATCATATTGATTGTTTACATAAAAACCTGTTTATAATTGTTTGTCACAATATGTGAAGATAGTGCTAGACAGATTTTTCTAGAAAGCTCTGTTACTAGAATGAACTGTGTGTTTCCGGAAGTTTCTAAATCTAGACAGTTCGGTTATTATAATTATATAGATGTTTCCGGAAGTTTCTAGAGACACATGTAAATAATCTAGAAAAGAACTTTCTAGAAGCCTTTAGTGTATATAAACATGATGGACCTGACCCTGAGCTGCCTTTTGAAGTATGAACGCCTTGATTGAGTTTACTTTGAAACTTCAGTCTGTGAAGTGTGGACTTTTACGGTGATTCAGTGATAGTGCCTTGTGGACTTAAATATACCCAACGAGGAAACAATTCTTGGATTAGTCTACGGATACCGTGTTTTCGGGACAATCTTTTGTGAATTCTGCTGGATTTGGAGGACTTCCATCGCAAGATAAGTTCTGACTTTTGATTAATTAGTGGCTAGCTCTGTACACCATCGCAAATATTTGTAACTTTACTGTAGAATTTATTTGTTGTTATTAAATTGTTGAATTGTAAACCTACCTGTTGGGTTTTCATTTGCTGTCCGTTAATTCCGTAACCTACCAAGGAGTAAATACAGTTATTGAAAATCTATGTACCGTAAGTGATGGACGATGCCCTGCCGTCCCTACTCTCCGTGGTATACTCCGCTGCTGACGGCTGGGCTATCGGCTGTACACCGGGTGTTCTCTGTTTCTTCTTCGCCTTACAGCAGAAGATGACGAGGATTGCGACGACGAGGATTGTCAGAGCAGCAGCTACGACCAGCAGCACCAATACAGTGGGACTAAAATATCATATACAAGGATATCAACAATAATATCCCACAATGTCACCAAAATCAAAATTCAACTCAAATTTAATCAAACTGGGGGAGAATATAAACAAAAGTAAGATTTACACAGAGAATCCTGATAAAGTACCAGGAGAATAAGATGTAAGAGCAGGCGTCTTCTGCTTCATCGACGACAGCCGCGAGGTAAGTCTTAGTCAGTCAATGAAAAGAAAGGCACGTTCTCCAAATGAGGGCAAAGTTATTTTGACGGGAAAAATTACATTATAAGTCAAAGACCATTCACACAAATGGAAACATTTATTATTATTGACGATGGTTATTGTGATCATGAAGAACATAAATTCTATTGCATTTGTTGATAATACTTTTTACTGATTCCTAAAAGTTTCGTTTATCTATTTTGGTCTCGAAATTAATGTAACATATGTTATGGACATGGTAGTAACATTCTAGTGTCAAGTGTTCAATTTTATATATAAAAAAAAGTTCGGCACTCACAACAATCATTTACCGATGTTTGTCCGGGTAATATCTTAAACATCGTATTAATTCTTTTATCGTCATACTTACTTAAACGAGCAGCACTGTTGATCGTCGAAAGGACCACAACAACTATTTTCACAAAAACGTACACCTTCCCTGGTAAGACAATATTCCTGACCTCTCACAACTGTCAATATTACATTACACATAGTTAATACGGTGAAAACACAGCTACACCTAGACTGGTCAATACAGTGAAAACCCAACTATTTCTAGACTGGTACTAAGTTGTGTTACGGAGAACACAACATCAGATGATTTGGTTCTGTATTCAATCAACTGATTAGTCTAACATCTTTTTCGTGTTTTTTTTTATCCTGGGATAAAAATGCTCGTTTTCGTCCGATGTTAATTGATTCGCTCCCGAATAAGAATAAGAAAAACAAGGAATCAAAACCAGCGAAAGTTTATGTGCGACGGAAGTTCCCCTTTGTACAACATACTACTCAAAAATAGAAAATTAAATACATTTTAAGTATGGTAAAATTATAAAAACAATATAAGACGGGATAGTGTAAATAAATATAGTATCAGCGAGGTCATATTTTACGTCACAATTGAGAATTATAAGATATAGCGAATAACATACCGACACATTCTCGCTAAATAAGAACGAATCACAAGATTTGTCTGTTTAAAAAAGAAAAAAATATCGTCTGTATGATTAGATCGGATCAACATTTATGGTTATTTGAAGCCAAGACAGTTTGTAACATTATATTATTATACAATTTATTTAATGTTATTTAGATTATGTCCATTTTGTGCAACATCAGCTACGCATTGCTAGTTTTGACCGTTTTAATGAAATGGAAATCATAAAAGTATCAACATAAATTGACAAATATAGAGTGAATATTTCTTTTATATTCCATGCAGTCATTTAGCTCTATGTCTTCGTCCAGATATCATATGAAGTATCAAGTATATAGCTGTATGAAAATACGAAGGAAAAATATATACTTACCCGAAAACAAGAGGAAT